TGCGGAGTTAGAGAACTTGCGGAAGAGTCTGCGGGAGCTTCAAGAAAAGGCAGAGAAGGCGGAGCCGCTGCTTCGGCTTGGTTCACCTGGCAAGCTGCGGGCGTTGATCGTGAGGAACGTAAGCGTGTTCGACCAGTGGGAAGTGCGCGGATCTTGGGCGAATTCTGTGCTTGCTTGCTGCTTCTGTTTCCCATGTTGCCGTTATCAGTCATCCTTGAGACTGCACCTGGCTAATATTTAGCGTGACATCGATGCGACCTCCCTTCTAACTAGGCCTTGTTTGTGTGAAGCAAATACGAGGGTGTTGTAACTAGATATGAGGCATTTCAGATGGTGTTTCTAATGAGCCTAGAGCATGCGTGAAAGGCTTTTTTGTTTTTGCTGTTGTTTACCTTAACTGCGTGTTAGACGGCCTCCGAGTCCGACCTAAATTTGATAAAAGAGAGCATTTCTGCTGATGCTTCCGAAGTGAGTTGAAGCAACGAGTGGCTTGTCTTGAAAGTGTACTACGAAGTAGCGAGATGTACCTTTCGTTGGAGAGTTGCTTTCTGGCTGGAACTTGTGGACAACAGTCATGTGTTATTGCGTCTGTGTACTTTGGAAGGTACAGAAGCCCGTAGCGAGCAGCAATGCGTTGATTATGGGGAACAATGTTTCAAAGGAGAGCACCGAAGGGCAAGAAGTCACTGTACGGTCCCAAGACGGAACAGTGGAGGTGCCCGGACACAGCGCGAAGCTTGTCAGAAAGCTCCAAGAAATGCAGCGAGTGCTTCAGCAACAGCTTCAGCAACTCCAATGTGAGCATGAAAAGTTAAACAGAGAGAATCAGGTTCTCAAGCAAGCATTGATGAGCAAAGCCCAGGAATCTGCTGATAAGGAAGAAGCGGCTGTTAGAGAGCAAGTGGACTACGATGAGCTTAAAAGGGGACTGGAGGCGGCAGCCCGTAACGCCCGTGATTCCCGATACCTTGCACTAATGGAAAGGGAAAGGCGCATTGCCCAAGTAACACGGCTAAAAATTCAACTCGAGAAGGCTCAGAGGAAGCTTAAAGGCCTTCCGGTTCCATTAGACACGAAACAGTACGCATCAGACACTTAACCCATCGCCCTGCTGCTCAGGCTAATTAAAGCGCTATGTTTTCGAACCAACTGTTAGAAAGCGTGCGGCAGTATGGAAGACCGTGCAACTTGTTGCTAAGCATGCAGACGATGGACTGCCTTGTGGTTCTTGAGCTCATTTCGGCTCCGTTGAGTCTGTGGTAAATTTGCAGAAACAGAAGCACACTTTTTCTTGGTGACGAAGGTGGTGATGCCCTCGACCCAGGCAGCAAACGGGCTGCTTCTGGTACAAATCATCTAAGTATATACCCCTCCGAACAGTCAAATCACAATGCAGTTGGGCTGACTGATCATTTTTTCTGCTTTGAGTGTGTCGCAATGTTCTGTAGGGACTGGGGCGGCTGGCAGTGCCACACAGTTAATGTGCATGGCTGATTCTTACGCAGTACGGAACGTGCTTTTGGAACCTTCATGTGAATCGGTCCTGAAGGCGGTCGGGCATATCAAACGCATGACATAAGGACCTTAGACGACACACTGGGAACTACGTAGTTGCAGGGATGATGACGTCTTCCTTTTTACTGGTCATGTGCGGACTTAAGACAGCTGCTACTCTTGCCTAGTTTTGCAAAGCTTATGCTTAGAAACGCTTTCAAGCTGGAAGACCCAGAAGCTTTCTGCCTTTTTTGATGGATCCCAGTTCTGAATAGCTTCAATATTTTTCTTCCGACGTGTCATAAATTGTATCATTACTGCGAGCAGTACCTGTGATACTTCTGAAACCATGTAGATATTTTTCTGTGCGTTTCGTACGAAAGCCAATTGCCTGAGAATGCTGCTGCAGATGCTTCAAACGACTTGCTGCTGGAATGCTGGCTGTACGCGCACGCATCCACACAGTAGGAAAAAACTGAATAAAAGTCCTTGTTAAAACGTCGTTATTAACGCATCCATGCACAGCAAGGTTCAATCCTACTTACAAGTTCGAAGTTACGAGCTGCAACGTTCTGCGATTCAAGAATATGCATATGAATACGGAACTGATGCGTGCATCAGGTGCTTTTGTTTATGGCAGTGGTAATAATGTTGGTTTACGTTGCCATTCTACGGCCCTTTCTCCCTAGGCGTCGTGTACCTGAGCTTATGTCTTCCAGGAATTTGGGTTGTAAGAGGGAAGGGTAAATTGCAGTGAGCGTTTCTGAGCTATCGTCTACAAGACGCTAACTCACACAGCTCAAGCTACAGCAAAATGCGACAGAGACTTTGGCGCACAGTTGTATTAAATGGAAGAATTGACTCCTTGCAGGGACTGAGGAGATATCTGCCTTTTTTCGTCTCAGCTCAATGACTCATTGTGACCAGACGTAAGGCGCCAAAGCTAGGACAAATGGAGTTCTCTAGTCACACAAATGCATATTGCAACTGATTTCCACTTACAGCACTTCCTGCTCTTCAACTGTGCAGTTCGCCGTCGCCTAACCGCTTCTGCTTGATAGCCAACAAATGCCATTGGTGGGTCATGTAGCATCTTGTGAATTCATGGTTTCTGGAATCACGATTAATGACATGTGCCCTTGGCAATTTCTTCTTTCTCCATTATGAAGCTGCCGATGAACTATGCCCGTCGGTGTCGATAAGAAATAGCTTCTAGGAGAAGTGTTGCATCCTCAGATTTACTGAGATTAGTTAAGGAAAGCCCCAAAAATGCGCGAGGTCTTAGGCGTTTGTGTCATCATTCCCGTTACGTTCCAGGCTGCGGCAACACCGAAGCAGAATATGGTAGCAGCAGCGGTAGCGCTTGCGAGTACGGAGACATGTAACAGCAAAGACGCTTAGGCGCACATGGCCACTGGGTATGTATGTTTGTGCGACGCAACCGGAGGGTAGTGTTACTTCGCAGTCCGCGGAGAAAATTCTTCGAAGAAGCCTTACGGAATTGCCGTGCCTATTTGCGGATAGAATGCACATGTACGGTTAGGTTCTAGTGAAGTTTGCCTTGATTTGGCGCGAGGAGAAACAACGCTTATGACAGCAACAAAACTGCAGGGGCAAACTTCGGGCGGATTTCAGGCTGATTGCTAGTACCTTTAGTCCTTAAGGGATTCAGTTATACTTTTTGAGCTAACACGCGCCCTCTAGAAAAGCTCGAGAACTGAGGCTCCGCTTTTGCGCAGCAGGCAGTACCTCCGGCGCTAACAAATTAAGAGAAACAAGTTGGTGATGCTAAACTAGAGTAGGGCGCGTTCCTAATGGTCCTCACTGTGATGCTATCTAAAACTGCACCTTTGCGTAATAAAAACGAGACTGCGGGAATTTCTATAGAGTGAGATGCTCTCGGGTGTGCGGCTATTTGCATACTTTTGCATCCTTCGATCCAAGCACGTATATGCAATACTGAGTGCCGCAAGTGTACTTCGTCACAAACGAGTACAAAAGGCGACTTCAAATTGATGGGCAGGTTTCTCTCATATGCAAATGTAAAATCGAAATCCGAATGCTGTGCTTGTAAACCGTCAACGTTGAGGAATAGAGCGTCTGGAGAAGGGATGTGCTCGTGAACCGTCAGCCAGCGCCAGACTGGGTACAGTGAACTTGCTTGCACAGCCAAAGCTAGTGATGGCTCCTGAGCGCTAACTAGATGGCAAACAATGCAAAACATAATAGGAGGGAGAAGCCTGCAGACATTGTAAACATCGCGCTGTAAAATTTGTGGTGAATACGAATGTTTTCTCTGATACTACGAAGTCTGTCTGGAGGAGCCGGTAGACGTGGGCAGCGCAGCAGGACATGGTGTGGCTTAGCTTATACTTTGCAGTCAGTGGAGCACTTTATGTTGCTTATGCAAATCGAGAGCGAAACTGAGCAAGCTGCAAGAGGTAGTACGCTGATCGCTTAGACCAGGCTTCAAACAAATCCGAATTCGTGGGCCGTTTGCTCCACGGTTTCTCCTTCCCCATGCCAGTAAATCACAAACATTACAAAGCAACAGTAGAGAAAGGCATTCGTAGCTTTCCATTAACTCTTCAAGCGCGTTCCCCCTCCCTCACTCTAGCAGGGCAGCATCCCAGCAACTGCCTTTATCATGTACTGTACCTGTTCTTCCGCGCATGACTGTGGTGGCCACTGTAACACATTACTTACCACGTCGGTGTGTGGGAGGTGCACGTGGCTGCGTTGCCTCGAGTCCCTCTCACCTACTGGGTCTCGCTGGAGCATACTACGGGACAACCATTCAGAGTAAAGCTTCAAATCCGCCCGATGATGTGTCTACTGGCTCCAGTAACCTATGTGTATCGCAATTAATCTACAGCATGATGATTTCTTGTGACGACGCTAGTTGCAAGTTGGCTTGCTTGCTTACTTTTGATTAGGCACAGGATGCGCCAGCCTTTGGGGCTTTGTACAGTGAGCCTTTGGTTCTAACGACGGCCAGAGAAACTACCAAAACTCAAGTTAAGAAATATTTGATGGAAGAAAAAAGCTGTACCTGTAGCGCCTCTGCGCTTTTTGACACACTTGTTTGCCGCCTGTCGGCGGCGCCTGGGCCGTTCATCCGAGGGTGGAGAAAGAACCTTTGAAGTATAAATAACGGTTAAAAACAATCTCTAACGGCTATTTCAGCATCAAAAATTTCTTGAGTTCGTGCTCTTCTCATGAAGCACCTTGCGGGAGTAGACGGAATGGCGCTTGTAAGCTGGCCCTATCCCGTCTTCCTTCGCGGCAAAGAAAACAGGAGGTGAAAGGAATTGGTCCAAGACACCATCGCATTCAAGGGAGCCTTTTACAGGGCCTAAGAATTATGAGGTTGTTGCTGTCTCACTGGACCATGTGGCGACTCCTGGCGTTGTCCATTTGGGTTACGAGCTGTTGGGGTTTAGCAGCATCTGCAACTAGGGAATCTGGCGTGTTGCCTACTGGAGGGCCTCAAGACAAACTTCCACTCCAGGGTAGTGGTACGAAACGTCTGCAGAATGGAGCGAGGGCGGACACGTTGCCTTATAAACAAAAATTCCACACGGCAAGTGCGCATGAGAAACGTGGTGGTAGGTACGGCTCGATCCGTGCAATGCATGATTTATTACGAGCTCGCCAATCCTCTGACGAGGGATTAATTGAGCTTCAATACCCCATCTACCTAAGCCACGCCCTTTTGCTTTCCAATGTGGAGGCGACAGCCCACGACGTTAAACGAATGCCGTTGCACCGCTTTAGTGCGCCCTTAGACCCAAGTCAAATTGTAGAGGTTCCTCTGGACAGTGTCGGAGGGCCACGCCCATACCATATGTTCGTCCTGTTCACTTTCGTTGAGAAGCGCACTGATGAGATCGCTCAACGTCTCAGCAGCCAGTGCAAGGACTGTGCGGGTGCTCTTGCGGCATTCCGCAACGTGTCGAAAGCCTACAAGTTAACAGGTAGGTTCACTTGTGAGCACGTTTGCTTTAATATTTTTCGCCGAGTTCTTCAGCCTTGGCCTCAGCTAAAGGCCCGGCTGTAGGGCTGAGGTGCTGCTCACCGTCGTGCTTTTGTTTTCTGTTCCTTTCTTATGCTTGTTCTGGCCGTGCAGATTCCTCACCAGGGAATGAGGACTTACTACCTGTTTTCTTCGCCATTGTTAATGTTGGCATGCGAGATGGAGCTGCAATATCTGCCATTCATCCCGCAATGCAGCTCCCTATCGTGATATACCTGGCCCCCACAGCGGTCCACGACTCCTCTCGTGACTGCAGAGTTAAAGCCACCAGCTCGTGTGCTGCAGGACCAGTGCTTTCTCCTCAGCTCACCTCCGAAGACAGCCTCCACACTGCACTCCGCCGAATAATAGCAGCGGATTTTTTCGACAGTGCACTTGCGGTGGAGGCGGATGACGATGAAGATGCAAAGTTAAGGGAGCTCCTTCTGCAACAGAAGCGAGACAATATTCACGGAAAAATGCATTTTTTTGCCTTGCCACAGAAGCACATGCTTCTTCTGCGACGCCGCAAGAACGAAGCACCAGTTGAACAACGCCTCCTTGAATGGGTTAATTCTCGCACAAAAAGGCACGCGCCTCTTCACCTTGCCTGCATCTTTGAAAATCTGGGCTTCCCTAGTTAATTTATCTGCCTGCCGACATTCGCGTCGGCTGTCGCACACCCTGAACGTGGAGAGTTTGTCGAAGACCTTAGCTTGTGGTGTATATGTATGCAGGCAATTGAAGGGCGAGCGTGGCAACAAGCAGCATGAGCAGGAAACAAAAAATATATTGCTAGTCTTGTTCCCGTCATTGCTGCTATTGATTTGGTGGTTGATAGTGAAGGGAGTTCCGTTGCTCCGAAGAAATCAGTGGATAGTGACGGTAGGTGGTGTGGTTGCGTACACGCTGTGCACTGGCGGCTTAATCTTTAGCGTGATCCACTCCGTCCCGCTTTTGGGTTACGACGAGGTGAGCATGCGGTATTTAGTGTTGGCGCCAACTTCCAGGGCGCAATATCTGTTGGAGGGACTACTTATTTCTTGTTGCTCAACGTTAGCGTCCTGTGCCGTTCTGCTCCTAGTGCGTTTTCCTCGTTTCGTGGAGCAGTCAGAACTTCGGCCCGCGTGCGAGAGTGGCACTGCAAAGAGTGGCCCAAATTATACCAAAGTGCTACAGTCAGAAGTACGGTGGCGAAAGCACTTAGCAGTGATGTCGTTTGCCATGATTGCTGCAATTTTCGTGCTATGTTCTGGGTTTGTATTGCAATGCTATCGCACAAAAGCCGCATGGTACGCACCAGTTTTTTGGCCCAGTCCCATACTCGCAAAAGGTCCTTTGAAGGCAGACTGGGGCAATGCGTTTTGAGCGGCTAATTCCATGGCTTGCCTGCATTGATTTGGTCAAAGAAAGCGAATACTGCTGCGCAACTTACCGGCGGAAAAACTCGCTGTTTGTGCTGTTCCTCTTGGAGGGCATGGGTAAAATGTAAGATTGCCAATCTATCAGTTAACGCTAAACCAAAACGAAGTACTTAGCGAAGCACTTCTCCCTCAATGAACGAGGGGCCACAGGCGTAAAAGTTTGAAAAAAAAAGGCCGGATTGAGCGATGCGCATTGACTAGATACCAGCCACCCAAGTGGCCTGCTCATCCCATCGGCAAACGAAACTTTCTGGCTTATTCAGCGTTCATATCTTCGAAATCGCCGACTTGGAAGCCGGCAGCGCAGTGATCGCTTCAGGTAGGCGTTCTACGGCGAACCTCCGTCCCTTCAGGTATACAATGGGCACTCCTGGAATTTTCCGAATGCGGCGCTTCAAATCTTTATCATTTGTTGCCACCAAATAACACTTATGCTGAGCAGACAAGCCAAAGCAGCATCAGTTTTTCGACAACTCACACATGGTAGTCCTATGCACCCGCTGGACCTGACGGGCCTGGCGCAGACGCACCTCCGTAACTCTCTGCACGATGCAGTCATCAGCGTAAGTACCGGCGTGCAAGCACTTAAGTCTTTTAATACGCGGATCCTTTGCCAGATGGAGGGCTAAACGGTACCTGTGGCCAAGCTTTTCCAGCTCAGCTACTACACAGTCCGTCACACATACATCGCCTGAAGGAGGAACACAAAAGAACTGCTTCTGAGAATACGGGTCCCTAGATGATGATGCAACGTGTGCAGTTCTACCTGCTCTTCTATTTGGCGCTCGTATTCGTGCGACGTGACGCGCTACCCCACAAGTCCAGGCTTGCTTACACTTTGCTACGAGGCAAGTAATGAGACCCTGTAAAACGTCTTGTTTGGTCTGGATGGCTCCGTTGATGAAGTTAGTGTCCACAAGCACCTGGTAGGGAGGCACCAGGTTTGTGTTATAACTGAAGAATTGGGAAGGGTTATGCTGTACGCTGCAAAGTCGAATACATACGTGCGGCATGCGTCTGCGCTGTAGCCCCCTTACAAATCGTGGTACTGGCGTATTCATAGATTTGAGATGAAAGGAGACTCGGCCAATATAGTTAATGGTCAAAGTGCTTTCTCACTGTTCCTTTAAAGCAGTTTCTCTTTCCCTTCGCTTCTCTTGCTTCTTCGCCTCTTTTTTTTGCCTGAAGCAGGAGATATGCAGCTAAGCCATGGGAATATACCGTCTCGTGGGGAAGAATACCATGTGATGGCTTCCTTAGGAGATGCCAGACGGCAGTTAGAGTTATGTCCTACAGCCTTTGATCCTTTGGACTGATTGTCCGTTTAACTGCGGCAAATTTGCGCGTCTTCTTTGCCTTCCCCTGCAAAAGAAGAAAATGTCCACGACTTTTTCGCACTTGCGGCGGTCCACCGAGATAAAGACGAAGTATCCACTTCTCCCTTATCCAAATAAAAAGTTGCAGCGTTGCTGAGAGGTACGGAACCCACCATGGCTGTATTGTAGGCTCCACAGACTAGAACAGCAACCTTCGATCGTCCGCAGCCTCAAGTGTTTCGTCTTTCGCCCTATTGTTGAGCTGTCGTCGCGGCCGTGAAAGCTCTTTGAGAGCCAGCCTTGAGCTTCAAATATATCTGCCGCAGCGCAGCTACTCAACTTGCTTTTGATCAAAAGTAAGCGCGCCTTCAAATAAGCAACATGCCCATCAAGCAATGGGCGGAGCTTGTGAACGCGCCCCACGGCGGAAAACGGGACCACTAACCACACAAAAGAAACAAAAAGTTAGGCAAAGTAGTGTTCAACGTCAATAATCCACAACGAGTCTCCTTGGTAAACCGTTTGCTGTTTTTATTTCAGTGTTCTACAGCGCACAGCAGCTCTGAGGTGGCCTCCAGCCCCGTTACCCAGTGAGGCGGGTAGGTTGCGAAATATCATGTTCGTATACTAAATAATAATCACGAGCTTCGACAACCGCTTAAAATAACAGCTTACTCATTCAGCGAAGTCAAGGGGAGACTTTGGCTGGTGCGGTGACTCCACGGTGTTCCTTCTTCCGGTCCAGCGATTCGATGTGGCCAGCGTCATAGAAATGGCAGCTCGCCATGCCAAGCTGTGGAATATTAGATAATATGACATTTTTCTTTTTCAATCCCAGTTATAGAGTAGTTTTGCGTCTTCAGTTCCCGGGGATCCGAGGTGAGCAGCCCGCAGCATGTCTCGGAAACGTCGTAGCATGTCTCGGGAGCGTGCAGTTCCCCACTATTAAGCTTTGAGCTCGTAGTTCTCGTAGTTGGCGTATACAAAACCTCCAGGTCAGTACAATAACCGGAACCACACTTCACATGCATGATTGAAATATCAGCGTGCAAGAAGACGCGTTCGCACGAAGACTAGACGAAAAGCGAATGGGCACGTGAGCTCATGAACGGAGTTCGTTTCCCGTCCGATCAGATAGAGCGGAGTTACACACGTCGGAGGACAGAATGTGGAAAGCGAGAACGTGAACGAAACAATTTGCAGCGAGTTTGCAGCTATTGCAGATGGTTGGACGGCTACTGACGTTGGATAGGCGGATGAGCAGTCGGCTTTCACCTAGGGTATAGCAGGTAAGCAATCCATCCATGAGAGCGGGCTCTGTCGTGGCCTTACAGACACGAACTCCTGGAGAGCGACTTGTTCGGAGAATGCTAGAATATTTGGCTGGATACAACCAGCTTGATAGAGGCACGGCAACAGAACACAGTACAATGACCGAATCACAAGAACACAAACTAGCGGGGTATTCCCGGGGAAGCCGCAGGAAACAACACATCCAGGGGCCTAGTTCGGATACTTTCCATATATTCGCACGGCCAAAGCAAATGTGTGCAATCTCCCAATACACGAAAGAAGTCTTCTCCCTTGTCCCTGCAGTGAGGACCGCCAGCTAAAAAAGTACGGAACCTTCAGGTGCGCACGCTTACAAAGGGTGATGCTTAGGGCTCTCAGTAATAACCACCCTGGGAAACTTTCCTTTAAGTTAGTAGCAGTTGCGTCAAAACCCCCACTCCCTATGTTTTAGGCCTGCTGCGCAGGCATTCGTCTTGAGATGAATTAGAAGCGAATTCTTAAGGTCTGTGCAGGGGCTGACAAACCAGCACCCTTACCTGCCGACGGGGATGAGCATCCTCAAAAGCCCCTCGCATCCACGTGCCCGGTTACAGAAAGATCCGCTACCGAGATCATCTGGGAACAGCTAAAATATGAATTCATATACAGAGGGTAGCTGTTCACGGTGTAAAGTCTCAAAAGCGAGAACAAGGGACGGAAGATAGGCGAACGGCTGCAAAAATGCAACCTACGTCCGACAAAGTGCGCACTTCGTCGTTGCGGGCAGTCCGAAAAACTTGTATCTTTATCACAGAAGTACGCTATTGCACTGTGCGCTGTGATTGCGTCTGTTGCGCATGGCAAATGAGACTTTGCTTGCTCTGTACGCAAGCCTGCATTCTCGCTCCTCAGCTGAACTGAAAAAAGGGACACAGTAAGAGTCCTCGATGATTATGGGAAACGGCACAGCACGACTTGCGATCTGAGATTCCATGCCCGCATCCACTGACAACGGCACCAGCTTAAGCCTTCTTCGGTCTAGGCTTCTTCTTGCTAGCAACAACGAGCCAGTCTCCACCGTCGTCTTCAGGCTGCTCGTTTAATTGCAGAGGGTTCGGTTGTGATTCTTCCTTTGTCTTCGCAACAGACGCGTTCGATGAAGCTGCTGTTTCGCATTCTATCTTTTTGGGCTGCTTCTTGGGCTGCGCTGGCGGAGTTGTTGAAGCGGTTTGCTTCGTAGGAGAGTTACTTGATCCCACGGGAGCTCTGTGGCGACGCCTGCTTGTGCTCTGCTGAAGTGAACAATGACAAAGTACACTCATGAACTCTGCGTCAGAGGTTGAGTTTCCGTAGGAGCAACTGCAAATATCAACGTACTGACAGCCCCACACGCGCTCTCAGTGAAGCGCTTACCTTGCTATCTGGAAATGATGACCGGACCGCATACTTACATCGCGCAGCCAATGTTATAAGAAGGAACGCAATAACACCCCTGCGGAAAAGGACGTACCAAGGCACGCATGCAGATGAGCGTCTCACGCAGAATATTCCAGAGAAAGTATCCGAGCGACGCAGTCCTGCTTTATACTTCACATCCGAGCACGTGTGCCCAACTTTAACTGCACCATGCAGCTGGTGAAATTTCATGACAATGACCTGGATAGAGTCAGACATTACTGTGGACGACGACAAGCCGCCGCCACGCCTCTGCAATGGCATAGGTCCCCGAACTGGGAGCAATAGTAACCAGAAATAATTCGGCACAAATTGCGCGCAGTTCTTTAGTCGCATGGAAGCTTACACTGTTGCAACAGCTATTGGATTGCCATTGAAGAGAGCCTCCTTGAATTGAGCGGCTCCACGGATGAGCATATCTGAGAAAAACTGTACTGCCGGCACATTCTCGGGCAGAAGGGGGTTAAGTATATACTTTGCCATCTTAGAGTCGCAAATCGCTAAAACTTGCTTTAGATTATTAGAGTTGAAGCCCGTTGTCTCATCGTGGCTTGGCCGCTCACTTCAGAGAGCCCTAGAGCTGCAGCCAGAAACTCCGTAGCCAGGTAACCAATCAGCACTGCCTTTGTTTGCTGCACTTTTTCCGAGACACAACACTCTTTAACTTTTTTCACAGTTTTACAGATGCATTCTTCATTGGACTTTCTGTGGGGACTTGAAAGCTTCCTAACATTCTTCACTCCACGGCTTGTCTATGCGGGTGCCCTGCCTGCTCGATCGCATCTGATATTGTTTTCACGGTATTATCTACCTAAAACGCCCTCTATTATAGTTCTCTGTTCAAGTGTATTTTGTTCTAATGCCAGCGTGTTGCCTTGCATCCCGTCGGTGAGTTTCTTTTTGCAATACAGCGTTTAACATACAGGCTCTCAGGGTCTCTAAGCTCTACGGGTCTCTAAGCGTCACAAAAAGTTAGAAATTCCGAAGAGTCTCGGAACCGTTATGTCAGAAAAGTGGATCAGCCACTGCCAGTGCCAATAACTTCCTGCCAAGGGGCAGCACAGGGATAGCTGGGGACCCATAGCAAGGCAGGAAGTGGGGGCATCACGGCTCGAAAATGCCCACTGCCCTCACCAAGACAATGCTCCCAGGACGGCTTGATGCCGCTTCTTTGCACAAGCGCAACATTTCGTACCGGCTGGAAAGCTTCTCACGTCGTGTGTTATGCTGCCCGCAATGTAGCTCTCACGGGACCTGGTAATGGACTTTCTGTTCCAATAGATGCAATTTCTTGGGTATAGTAGCTTTTTTATTTAGTGAAACATGCACTGTAGCGACTGCTCCGACTCCTACCTCATCAATCGTTGCCATGCAAATTGCACAATCTGCCATGCCAGTCCAGAGATGTGCTGCAGAGCTCCATGTATGCCTTAAAATTCTACGAATACACTGTCGAAATGCAGTCCTTCTGGCGCAGGTTGCCTAGGTGTTTATTATCATGAAATTATCTGGAGGACAGCTCGGCCTATATGCACAAAGCCTGAATCAATTCACCAGGCCCAGTAGGTCGGGAGACAGTTCTTTCATGGTTTCTGCACCATTGACCACGAGACGTATTTATGCCTTAGTTAAAACGGCTTACTCATCAGTAAGATCATCTGCAGAATTTTGTCTGCTGACAAAAGCGGCGAGTCAAGGAAGAAGCAAGGCATCTCCTTTTGGGTTGCACTCCAGCTTGGGGGACCACATTACGCGTCGTCGACCTGCTAAGCCTGAAGAGAGTGCTGCATTTAACAGTCGCTTTTCTTTGAACAAGGTTTTGCGCGCAAAGCACGGCGGCTTTCCCGCTGGGTTTTAAAGCCAGCCAAGGGAGCTCTGGCTCGCGTTCACGAGAGTTTTGAGCCTTCTATAAATACACAAAAACGCTCCAGAGCCCAAACTACTGCAATAGCTCTATATTTTATGCAATTGTATTTGCGTTGGCTTGAAGGAGGAGTATGTCGAGAGAACCAAGTAGGGCGGGGATACCTTCGCTCGTCGAGCTGCTGCAAGGCAGCACCCAAGCCTTGAGCTGCTGTGCCAGACTCCACGTTGAGCCATTACTGCCCAGGAGAGTCTGAAGGCTTTATTACAGCTGCACTAAGGCCAGTTTCCCCCCAATGATGCAGACAAAAAAGGGACCGTCGTCTTCCATGAGTAGCTGGAGCTCCATTACTCCAGCGAAGTTCCTGACACTACTGGAGATAAAAGCTGCCCATTCCAAAAAGCTTGTTGCACCACAGTGCAGGCTAACTAGTAAACAGTTTCTTCTGACGCCACCTTCTGGTATCATAGCCATTTCCCTACGCAAAGACGACCCTGCTGAGGCGCTTGTTCTCTCGCCAGCACGGCACCGACTTCGCTGGCCATGGCTGTTATTCTTCATAAAATGAAAAGTAGGCCCGCGACATGCCCAGGATACTTCTTGGAAGTGCCGTCATAGGCTGGAATCCCAAGATGCACAATGACGCAAAGCCGCTTCAGCACCCTGAATAGCCAGTAGATCGTTTGCAAAAACACTGGAGCAGCTGCTGCTCCAAGGGGCCTGTGTGTTTGTTTGTACAAGGCATCCTGCCTGCACAATAATGGAACGACAAACGCGAAAGGGTTGATAATAACCATTGAGCTAGCAAAACACGGCAATGAAGTAACTGGCCTCTAAGGCACCGGGAGCATCTGCCGCTCCGGGGGACCTGTATGTTTGTTTGTCCAAGGCGTCTTGCCTGCAAAATAATGGCGCGACGAGTGCGAAAGGGTTGATAATAACCATCGAGGTGGGCAAGCCACGGCAATGGAGTAACTGGCCTCTAAGGCACCGGCAGTTAACTGATGCAGGCTAATGCTTGATGAAAAACCCATGGCACTGTACCAATTGGGCGCCGACGAGTGCAGGGCTGAAAATTTTCAGAGGGATTTCAAACACGACTACAGCTGAGGGCAACTCAGCCACGCTGTGTACGACAATTGCTGTACTCAAGTAACCCAAGGACCCTAGTTATTCCCTCGCTCTTCGCGGGGCTTACAGGGGATTTAGAGGGTGTGAGCGTAACGTAGGCTTCCACTGGACCACAAGCAAATACGCACTGACAGCCGTCACGCTTGTTTTTGTCAGACGCTCCTTACCCGAATGGAAACGTGAGATTACGTATGATAGGGTGCACTGAGTCCAATGCGCAACGCTATATTCCACAATGCTGAGGCATCGACAGAGATATCTGGGGTCTTGCTGACCGTCGCACTGCCTCCTCCTATATTCTAGATACTATTCTGGGGTAAACTAGCTAGGGCGTGGCTTCTTCAACTTTTTCGCCTTGTGTGCCTCTATGATGTCCTGTCATATCGACGGGGTTAACATGACGTTTCACCTTCACAGGAGGTGGCTGCGGCACTTTGGATTTTGGGACTATAATTCTTGTACCGCAAGCCACCTCTTTGTTATTAACGGACCTTCCTCTGACTTCTTCCTAGGCGCCGCTTTGCCGAAATAGCTTGGATTCTGATCCCATCTCGCCGCATCCTGAGCTCTTCGAAGGCGTGGCCTTCCGTCCTAGGAAAAAGGCGTAGCACTTCGCTTCTTGATTCCTTTCATTGCTACTGTTCGCTGCACCTCTCGATTTCTTATTTGCGGGGTGCCTCCAGTTCGTATCCTGGGCACGTGCCTTCGCCGCAAAATGCTCTTGATGCAGGATCAATTTGCGGCGAATAAAGCCCAGCGTAGACTTCACGTAGATACTCAAACTGAGTACACAAAGTTCATACACGCCTACTAGCGTCCAAATTACCAAATAAGCCCTGTAGAAAGCATGCTGATTTGATGGGTGTTCTGCTACACCTAAAAGGGGATCATGTGTTTCTCGATCTGCGTGCCATCGCTGGCTGCACACGCGGCAGTGTTAGTCCCCAAGCCTGTTCTATATGCAGAGCGCATTGAGCCTAGTACGTAACAGGAGCCAGGTTTACTTATCTAAAACATCTCTTATCGTGCCTGACACTTACAATACTAAATTCTACAACCTCGGAAGTTTATTTCTGAGCAACATTGCAGTGCCACACACTACACAATCTGCTCTTTTTGTTACCGCATCATGCCTCGAGGTGCCTCTACCGTCAGAAGCCCGAATGCTCGTTTGCGTCATTGTGAAGCTCGGTAGTGAATCAGGATCATTGCTTCTGCTAAAAATTCAGTGCTCCCCCCGACAAGCTATAGAGAACCGGCACCTCTCAACCTCGCAGTAAATCGTCAACGTACTTGGTTACAGCTGGACAGCTCTATCAAAAAATACGCTTTTGAGCAATACAATGTGCGATGGGTAGCCAGAAGCTCATCCTTTATCCCAGCACTGTGTTTGTGGAACCTGGGTATCCAATAGCCAAGCGTCTAGATCCCTTTAATATCTCAGCTGCCTCAAAGAAAATTACTTTAAAAGCAAAAAACAGCCACTGCTTCTCCTGGTGCCAACGTAGAAATCTGCAATGTCGTCGTTTCTTTTCAAAGCGGCAAGAACCCTGAAAATCTTTACATTAGTACTGTGTAGGCGAAGCTGAGGAAACGCATCAACCTGTCCCCTAATTTGTCTAGATCCGAGAACTCCGTGGATTTGGCCAAAATTTACTTTCAGCGATGTAGCACTGCCTTCCTGATGGGCAAATACTTAGAGCTTTCAAAACGATTCATACGAGAGACTCGTGGCGCACATTTGCGCAGCTTCTCTGAGGCTTCAGGAATTGCTATGACTGTAAGGAGCGGAGCCAATCACAGGAAAAGGATTATCCAGCATCGAAGCAATCGGGCTAGGCACTATAAAACGCAGTGCATAAGGCGTAGTGGATTGGTACACTGTGCCAGGCAATGTACTATAATGTTGCGCAGAAACAACAGAGACTGAAAAATTTAAGTTGTTAAGGAAAAATTGATAGGGAAAGTAGTGTAATTCGTTTAATTTAACAAATTGAATTTTTCCAGTAGACTAGGCAGGCTAGGCCTAGAATGCTCTGTAGCTACGCAGTTTGGGGCGGGCAGTGTCCCCAGTGTTTCTAGTAGTTATACGCGCACAGAGTGAGAGAAAAGACGTTCTCCTTCTTGTGAGTTTAGATCTCAAGACAAGTGCTGTTTACGTTTATAATGCATGACTCGCCACCTTCACCCAACAGAGGTAATGATGAACTTTCAGCCAGCGGCGAACACCGTATAGGAACCGAGCCAGGCATAACTCTGCAAGCACCGCTGTAGAGCAAGCTGGCGTTGGACTGAGCCATGTGGAAGCGAAAGGCTCCTTCCTGCTACCTCAAGAGCGCGAGCAACTAGACGGTAAGCAGTTCTACACTTTGAGGGACGATCTAGCCTCTTCGATTGTTCCTTACAGGTATGGAACCCTTACAACAAGCCAAAAATCTTACAAAGAAGATATTTTCTTACGGAGTGAAGCTAGCTGTTCTCTATGGTTAACTGCTGGATAGCTGCTGCCCAGGAAATGTCATACAGTTGCTGCAACACTGTATAGTAATCCATATGCACAAGCAAGCAGTTTTCATCGCAGTTATCCTCCTACTTCATACAGACCTCAATGTCGACGGAACACGGTTAAATTAAATGCACCAAAGAAGCGCATAGTACCTTGAGAACATATTCGGATGCTACTGAAGCTTGGATGCACTGTTCGACCTCTACATCCCCGTATGCAAATGGCTGGTTGTAGTCTTTTGAGGTTGTCACCAGGCGTTTCGCTGTTCCGTACAAAGTCACTTTAGGCCAAGCCCCCTGCTACCTCTGCTTCTTAGTATGCAAATGCATACTAAGAAGCAGAGGCAGCTGTCATCAGAGGTCGAACAGTGCATCCAGGCTTCAGTAGCATTCGAATATGTTCTCATGACATCTTAACCCGATGTGAATATGGTGGTGTTCAGGGCGTCGTGAGGCCTGTAACTACAAGTTCAGCACCGCGATGGGCATCGTGAAGTTGGGGAGCAGAGCAAAATATGTCACAAGGGGGAAAACGAACAAACAATGGAATATTCTGAGATTTCTGCCTCCTTCCGGTTCCACCAGAAGTGCTTGGAGAACCTGCCACACCCAGATAATGCGTGGGGAAATATCAGAGTCAACGCTAATAAACACAAAAGTCGCACAGCTGACCAACAACTGGGAATACTACTTCTGCACAAGCGAGGTGGAGTCGTTGACAGCCTGATAACTCCTGATGGCTGCAATCGTAGCCTAAAAGTAGCCGTTGAAGAGTGTTACTATCCTTGGAAGGATCTTCGAAGAGTGCACCAATCTTCGGAAAGGACTTGGAAGAATTTTTTCATATTCGGAAGCGCCTTGGAAGAGCTTGCGCATCTTCGGAGGACCGTGGATACATTCATGGCTTATCAGGCTAGCTAGTAGTACTGACTAATCTGCATAGCTAGTAACAGTTTTCAAAAACATGAAACAAGACACTTAATCAGTGTTCCGTCATTTCCTAAAAACTGCTCTATACTGTGAGATGCTTTGTATCACAAAGTGGACTGGCTGGTTTCCCATGCTTCTGTAATGACAGCGTAGCCCTCCTCGAAGCCATTCTTAACTGCCGAAACGGCGTTATCTAGTTTTCTGTGTGCCTCAATTTGCATCGAACTAAGCCATTAGAGGCAGGCAGTTGAGTTCCCTCGTCAAAACATAGTTTGCGAGGGGAACAGTCGAACTTGTATCCATGTCTTTCTTCGTTCACCACTCTATAAGCTTGATCTGAACTTAGTCCTTGAATTCTACTGATAAAACCACAACAGAAAGGCTGCATCAGGACCTCATCTGCAATGAGCCACCGCCCTGGTCACTGTTCGCATTGCATGCGCGGTAGTACGCTCTATTTGACCCCACTGAGACTGTAGGCTAGATAGCAGCATCTTCGTTTTAGTAGATATGTCTTTGACTCTACGTTGATTGGCATTCATCTTTTTGCCAGTTTACTAGCATACGATGGATAGTTCACTTGGACGTCGGGGCCGCCTAACGACACTCGCAACCAAGTCCCAAGTGAGACTTTCAGTGGCTATGCGTGTTTCTGGGGATGAGTCAGGTGTGAATTGCATCCCAAGTGCACCAGAGATCTCAATCCCAGACAGCCTGTGTTCGGGCTGCGTGCGCTTCTCAGCGACAAAGCAAAACCTTGGGGATAGCGGAGCTAACTGCAGCGTTCAAAGACCTCTCAGTAAGCCATCAACAAAGCAAAACATTGACAGTAGTGTTTACCTCTTCTTTTTGACCGAGATCAGGTTAGCTCGGAATGAACTTCTGCATATCTTCGCTGATCTTAGGGAGGCGACAGCTTGATACTCACGGCGAAGGCAGGGAATCTCGCAAGACGCTTGGTGGGGCTGAATGATGTTGTAGTGGCGGATGCATCTCTGTATCCTTCTTTTTCTTTATCTTACCGAAGTTCCACTTTTAGCTGCCTGTGTGCTGTGAGGAGCTCAGCAGGTTCCACGTGGAGCTGTGTTCTATCTGTCTGCCGCTGGGTTTCGATCCCCAGGAAGAAAGTAAAAAAACGGTTGACAAATTCTGTATCAGTTTTTGATCAGGGACTGGCTCCCTCGCTTAGGGAGATCGAGGAACTGGCTGCAGTTGCAGGGGAGTACTGCGACATCTCCACCTTCGCAAAATTTTGTAGAGAGGTAAGAAAAGTGCAGAGAAGTTCCACAGCATCCGGGCTGTTGTAACGCATTGCATCCATGCCCCTACTATGGCGGCAGGCCGTGTTCTGCACAATACTGGAGCAAACACGGCAGTTTCGGCATTAGAAACCTCGCCTTGCGATGAGAAATCTCCACTCAGGTGACTCACTGCAGCGACAGCCCGAAGCTTTTTTCGGAGCTTTTTTGCTGTTACGATTCGTCGAACACCGGGAAGGTGCCTTTGCGAGTCGCAAAAAATATCCTGCGCAGCTGCGGAGAGGTGCTGACGAACGAAGAAATAGATGCAGTATTTGCGGACTTAGGGGTTTCCAGCGATGAAGTTGACTACAAGGCTTTGTGCGAAAGGTCAGGTTCAGTGAATATCTGGTGACGCAACTCAAAGCGTTTCTCAGAAGGAACGAGTGCTCATCTGGGCGGCGACCCCGGAGCAGTCCATAGAATACCACGGCAGTGGCTTGCCCTTTGCTCTCCGCAGGCTTTTGTCGGAGAGCTGAACACTTTCGGCCGAAGTCCGTGGAATGCGTATCAGAGATGAACGACTAGCTGGAGTTGCACTCCTGTCGCAATCACACTACGCCCAGGGGCTACCCTACGTTTGTGGTCAGTGGGTTGCGGTACTTCCCCCTGGCCCCGCTGTGGTTGGCTGCAAACTGTCGAGCTCGCGATTCGCCAGTGAGGTCGGAAGGCAAATCAGGTGGTTTTAAGCTTAGTAGCTTAATGGTACAAAGATGTTGGGGATCCAGTAAACCGCGCCTTTCATTTCGAAGTCCTGCTAACCTCAGAAGAAACGTCGCCATTCACCTGTTTGCATAGGTGTAACAGACACCGATTCAAGTTAGTTTGATTGTGACACAACTTGCGGATAAACAAATTGGACGCAGCGGTTCAGAAACTATCCGCTCGGAATTTCACCCCATTAAGCTACTCCTACGTGCTCTAGCAGTGCGAAGATGGGACAACAGCTACGGCGTTCGGATCTGCCCACGGTATGACGAAAGTACAACTGTTGTGGCCCGCAAAAGCCTCCGCAGTTCAACATGCGCGTCCAATGGTCCTGGCTGTATTTTGTGGCCAACCAGTAATCATGGGCACGCAGGTCCAACCTACCACAACAAACTCTACACCTCAGCTGAAACACATTTTGCGTGCACCGCAGTGAAATGGTAGTCGGTCGTCTGGACTCATTCATCTTGCTATAGCGTCGCTCGCTGCTGCAGAAGGGCCACAGTTCCTGTGGACCATCGAGGGGCGTCACGCCACTGTGCGACTCGCTGAAAGCGAGCTTTGACGATTTGGTGGAAGGCATATGCCCGAACCATATCCAACATTTCTCAAAAGGCGACAGACACAAGCGTACAGATCGCACTCGGCAGCACAGATTCCCACCAATCAGCCATGCACCAGTCACATTATCAAGCAGTCCAGCGGTGCTCCTCAGGATTAGGGATGGGAATTGTGGGACGATGTGACAGCGTTAGGTGAATATCTCAGGTAATGGAACGTCGCGCTTGTCTGTGCCCTTGACGTGCGCCGGTGCGCCCGACACAATGACCATCTCGTCCTCTACCAGTGGCCCGCTACAATGCACACTCCACGTAGAAGAGCGCGGTTCCAGGAAGGACACACTCTAACACGTGTACGACACACTTCAAAGGACCTGCACGGCTGTTTGCCCGTGCAGCACAAATACGAGAGCCTTTCTAGAACGAGCGGCCGCAGGTCACTTCGCCTTGGCCGCTCGAAAGAGGGACATTGGCAGCTTCGCAACTTGCAGAACTGTCTTGGGCTCAATCTTAAGTTTCTTTCCAGAGCGCTTCCTGCTGCTGCTGGACGGATTTGGGGCAGCACCCCGGCTGTGGCCTGACATGGCGCCGTGGGCCTCTCCATCACTCCGCGAGACTCTCGGATCAGCACCCTCCAAACCGCCTTGCTTACCTCTGCTACTGCTGCGGCTAATGCTCTTCTTCCGAAAAAAACGGGCACCTTCCCCGCCGCTCCCCGAGTCTGACTCCACATGGGAGCTACTGCCACCTTCATCACGTAGTGCGCTCAGCATAGACTGCAGCATGCCACTAGAGGACGCATGGCGCCTTGACGTGTCCCGACTACGGTATAGACGCAGGAATCGACGCAAAACGCGTTTGTCACTGCCAGGCGTCAATAATCTGCAGACAACAACCAACACCTAGCCCTTACTTGATTATTTTTGGTGTAAGATTTGTAAATCATCAGACAGAACGACTGCCCATCCATGAAAGATAAGGATACGCACCGCTCATTCGCAATAGCAAGTGCCGTGTTCCCCGCTTCGTCTTGAGTCATGACATCCGCACCCATTTCCATCAATGTTGCAGCCACTGAATATTGGCCGAAAAACAGCGCACCTAGTAACGCGGTACGCCCTTGAGAATCCTGTTTCCAACAATCACAAGAAACCGCACGCGCTCATGCCTTGCAAAAAAACTCCTATAGCTTCCAACACTACTCTTGCAAATAACCAAATGACACTTCGCTTCGGGGAGCTACTCTCTCAGTAGTTTCTGTTAGAGGCCAAATTCCAACTAACCTTAGCTTCAAGATCAATCGATTTCGCCTTCTTTAGAATGGTTTTTGCGATTTTGTCATTTCTCAAACGAATGCAAACAAGTAGAGGAGTTTCTCCTTCCGTTTTTTCCGCTTTGTTGCAATCCAGTACTTGAGTTTGCGTTGCAAGAATCCACTTTCCCTCACACATTTTCTCCCCCTGCGCGTTTTCCATGACTTGAAGCTGCGGCTGTTGTTGAAGACTATTAGGGTGCACTTTCACTCTGTATGGCTCTTGGGTGTGATCTAGGAAATAGTTGACCATATCTTCATGATTTTCCATACATGCTACAATTAGAGGAGTCATTCCTGAAGTGCACACAGTCGAAAGAAGCCACTGGCCGGAAACGCACTGACGCTGTGGGAGATGAATGCTATGTTCAATGCTAATGAAATCCCAATAATGCTGTGCGTCTAATCGACCACGAGGCAGATGCTGCCAAGATTACATAAATTTTGTGGCAAAGGCAAGCAAATGAAATTCCATGGCTTCAATGGATTGCTACTGTGTGAAGAGGAAGTGCACAATTTGTTCCTGTTTGTCGTGAGTGCAAAGCGCCCTTCAAGTGGTGAAACTGCTTTGACTCCTGGTACTATGATGCACAAAAGCAGGCATCCTGCGCATCGTCTAGTGCTTGGGTTTGCGTTGACCTGCGTGCTGCGGTGCGCAACAACTAACCTTCAAAGTTGGCTTTGTTCACATCCGCTCCATGATCAATCAGACGCTCTACGCAGCTCCCTAGTCCTTCCTCCGTGGCGGCTAAAAGAGCCGTCTGGCCCCCCTCACCCCGTGCGTCTACGTTGCACCCGCTTGCGAGCAGCAACTCTAGCACTTGAACACGTCCTTGTTTTGCTGCCTGCTCAACGCCAAAGTAAAGCATAAACGCCACATCATTTAGCTTTTAACCTCGACAGAATAACGACAATTTGGGACAGAAGCAACACATTCTGCAAGGAGCAAGTCCGAACCTGCAAGAGCGGCTTGGACCACAGCGGGTGTGTGCGGTTCATCAGGTCTGGGTACTTCTCGATCAACAGTTCAATGCTTTCGACGTCATTTTTAGCCACAGCGCAACTCAACACATCTGCAAACAAGACAGGAAAAATTCTAAACACCAGGCTTTCAATCAAAGCAAAGATGCTCTGCGAACTGTAAGCTGCCCACCAACATCTTTCACGCTCTCGTGTATGTCGAACTTACCAGTCAAAACCCATCTCTTTCCCTTCTCAGCTCCCGCACCCGCCTCTAGGAAAAGAGGCAACCAATTCGGGTTAAGCTGATACGCCATCTGTCGCAAGGACAAATGCAACCCACCCGCATGAGACAAATGTTACATTTGCTCGAACCAAGATGCTCAGGGAGCCCAAAAGACTGCGTCATTTCCGTTCTGCGTTAACCTACTCACCAATGTGGGGGTGTACGAATTGTGGCCCCGAGAGTTCGGGTCTCCTCCAGCCTTCAATATAATCTTGATGATCTCTGGCGAGTTAACTTCACACGCTACACACAACGCGCTTTTGTATGTCCTAACGCCTGGGCACTTCACATCCACCGCTGCTCCTCGGGCGAGCAGACGCTGCAATTAAGCAGATACAAGCGACGCGTAACAAACGAAAACTCATTACACACACAGATCTCATGAATCAGCAAACCAACAAAGAAGCAACGGAAAAACAAACTCCACGAATCAACAAATACAAGCATGCACCCCATCCTTATATTAGTCCAAATCACGCATCTATGCCTCCATCCAAAAGGCTTCCTGCGCACTTTTACGATCTCTGCGTCATTGCGCCGTATTGCCGTTTGAAGGGGAAAGTGGGCGCAGCGCAAGTCATGTGGGTTTGGCGACACGCCGAGGTCGAGAAGCGCCTCCACAAGGTCCAGACGGGAGGCTTCACACGCCCGTAGAAGCGGAGACTTCCCCAAATAGTCACAGACATCAATTTGTGCTCCACGCTTGATCAGCTGCAGCCAACCACACACAAAAAACGGGTTCGCATCACATCAACCAGACACCATTGCAGAGCTCCACGTTACGTTTAAGCATACCCAAGCAGCAATCGTTTCTCAGTGCACTGCAATGTCTAAAAGCTGCGTACTACTTTCAAAGTCTCCTGGTCTTGAGTTTGTATAGCAATCGAAACGGGCAGCGTGAGGACATTGACGCCCCCATCCTCGGAGGTGTCAACAACAAACGGCGCATTGACCAGCAGCTCGCTGCCACGCTTGGCCTGTAGCGTCAGTAGAAAACTGCCACGGTAGGGAGCTGACGCACAAAGTTCTGTAAACTGCAAAAGAAGCACATCGGAAGAAACCAACAAAGGCGCGGCTGGATACGTCAGCCGCAGAAGACTCCAACAATTAAAAAAATGAGTATTTCGAGCCAGACTCCACTATATAACTACGTAGGCCATCTGCGCTCGCGGAGTCGCCGTGCAGCCGTGCCCCCTACCTCTTTCTGTACCACCTTTGTCAACGACGAGATCTGGTCATGAAGACCGAGCTTGACAGCGTGACAAAACGAGCGGTAGTGCGTCTCCATCCCAACCTTTGAAAGAAGGCATTTAGATGCAAGAGACCCCACAATTTCAAGAGATGGTACGACGGGATGCTTCTCCTCCTCCTCCGCAGCGGCAAGGCTTTCAGCCGCAGCAGCGCCCGCCGCATCTGCTGCTGCCGTAGTGTGCTCAATGGCAGTTTGACACGCGATAGCAGCTCCTTCTCCTGCAGTCACTGCAGCAGCGAGTGACTCTAGCTGTTGCTGGAGGCGCAACACGAGCTCTCTCTGAGCCCGAACTGCACAGCGATCAGGATCATCTGGCTGAAGCTCCACCGGCTCTCCGTCGACCTGAATGGGTTCCAGCTGTATCTGATTACCAAGTGCCCTCTCCTTCTCCTCTAACAATGCCTGTTGCTGTTGCAGCCTCTCTGCCACTGCAGCGTGCTGCTCAGTTAATGCCTTTGCCTGTTCCATGTGCTGAATGTGCTCCTTCTCCTGCTGCTGCAAAAGCCGCCGCAGCTGCTTCTCCTCCTGCAACTTCTTTTCGTAATCCCTCCTGTGCCGCTTGTTAACTGCCGTTGCATTCGCAACAAGACGATCCGCTAAGGCTGTTGCTGCGTCCAGTCTCATATTCGTGAAAGATGCATCGAAATGCAGCAGATTCGGCCAGTTGTCTGACGAAAAGTCCGTCGCCACGTTTGTAAAGGTCAGCTCGTTGCTCCTTGCACAGCGGAGAGAGAGTCGCTCCAAATAGGGGAGATATGTCGTAAGCAGCGCTGCAAGCCCCTTGTTGGTCACCTCATAGCAAAAGTCGAGGCAAAGACTCTTCAGTACTCCTCCGATTATATTGTCTTCCTTCCTCCCGTGCAGCACGTCCATCAAACGTGCTACTGATGCATCTTTAAGCAAAGAACAACCACTAAAATCCAGAGAAAGACCCGCGGCCCGCACTTCCGGATGCACCGCCTTGCACGCCAGCGGAACCACCTGCTCCATTAACACACGGGCGTCAACCCCACGGAACATGCCAAAGGACAGCACGCCATCAGCCGGCCGATACTTGTGCTTGCAAAGCAGACGGCAGGTCTGGCGCAACAATAAAATCCCCTCCGCGTCGAGTAGCTTCTCAACGTGCGGTAAATATAGACGCCAGCGATCGTTCAAACCCGCTGGGGCAGCACGGGGGGCCGTCCCTGAAGCCGCCGTGGATGCAGCACCTCCTTGATGCTGCTGATGCTGCTGCTGTCTCAGCTGCTGAGCTGCAGCCGCAGCTGCTTGCTGCTGCTGCAGTTGCTGCTGCTGCAATGCAGCAACCTGCTGCTGCGCTGCAGCGGCTGCAGCTGCCCTCGACGCAGGCACCTGTTGCACTGTAACTGTGCCCAGCGTCGCTGGGGGCACTAAGTCGTCCAGAATTTCCGGCTGGCCAATGGCTGCTGTAATTCGCGCCATCTCCGCTTCGTCTACTTCGCTTATAGTAACGCCGCTGAGAGCTCCCCCATCTGCGGCCAGGCCAGGAAGTTGTCCTACGGGAGCCACGTCCACCTCTATGGGTCCCTCCCCCAAAGTAAGATTATCCTGCATCTCAGGATGCAGCGACTCGTCGTGATGAGTCATCTTCGAGTAAGTTAGACTAACACTCAGCGTAAGTGCTCCTCCCGGCAGTCAGTGGTGGACCTGACTACCGCAGTGTACTCACAACAAAAGCGCGTGAAAGAAAACAGATGACCTAGACAAACTCAGCGGTGCGCTCTTCCACAGCGCCAACGGATTCCCAAAGCCACCGCTGCCACATGCGCAAGAAACCACAAGGGAAATCCGAGTCCGCTTGGACGTATATTGACCACAGTTATCCCCTAGAGCTAAACAACGAAGAGCAACGAACTGCGCAACAAGAATAAATCCGTCTGAACGTGGTTGCGAATATGGGCTTCCCACAGAAGAAAACCCTCCGAAATAAGTTCAGCTCCGGAAGCCACCACAACCGCCGGTGTGACGGCGCCAACCGCACAATTCAACCAGTAAATGAATACTAAGCGGAAGACCTCTACTCGTTGTCCTGGTCGATTTAAAGCACCGGAAAAAGCAGTTTTTAGGATGAACCAACTCCGCCTGGGATTTGGCGCTACACGACTCGGCCAACCATTTTTTGCAGAGCGAGCAGAGGCTCCGCAACTCCTCTTTCCCGACGTATGGGCACGTCGACGTCCCGCTAAACCGAGGAAGCAGTTACTTAATGGATGGCGCCACGGGGAGCTCCCTGAGGGCCAGATGCACGGCCGCCGGCCATCTTCCACCAGAAGACGCGAGCGAGAGTCACCAGCTGAAGCAAGCGATGTTGGCTCAGCAGGCTGGCTCCACTGTCGCCAACGACATCAGGTAAAGGCTAATGAAACCAAGAAGGCGATCCTTATCCTTCCCACTACTAAGTAGCAGGAGTTCGAAGACCGGCGCATAAGACGAGTACGTGGGCCACCAGGCAACGGCACAGGTGTCGCTCGAGATGGTAGGGAAAATACTCTCACAGCCAGCGCGCACGGTGTTGTCAAGCCAGTATAAGTGATACTTCTAGTTAAATCCGACACCTACTCGCGTGGATGCTTCAGCTACACCCCTCGTCAGCCGTATCGGCGTGCGCGTTGCTCCCACGATGCGGGGAGGCCGCACCGGCCGATTGGAGCTGCTGTTCTTCTTCACAGATGATTGGAAAAGGTCCTCGTCGCTGCTGTTGCTTCTGCTGCTGCTGCAGCAAGGAGAGAGGGCACCCCGCCGTCCAAGCGACGCAGCCACTGAAGCTGCTGCTGTTAGGAAAGGACACGGAAGGCCCCGCATAGGAAGCCTACCTTTGCTTCTAGAGAGAGCCAAACGACTTCTCACCCAAAGGCGTAGAATGCCGGACTCTGCCAATGTCATTGTAGTCTCAGACGTCAAGGCTGCTGTTGCTGCTGCACCGCTGCTCGCTGCGGCTGGGGCGGCCAGCAGCGGCTTTTCTGCAGCTGTCGCGGCGTTAAATCTCTCGCTTCAGAAGCTTTTTGCATGTGCTAGCTCAACGCTCTAAACGTTTGCACCAGCGTCTGCCTTGTCTTTTGGATTCTTATCACTCGACACCCTGCACTGCGGGTGCGTCATCACAGGTGTCAGGCCAGCAGAAAGAGTCGACGAGAAACGCCTCAGTCGTAGACGCTTAGTAATGCCGGGTCGTTCATAAAAGTATTGGTCTTGAGTACGATCTACTTCACGAATCCAGATGCTTCAGCAGTGGTTGCGGCAGTGTCACTTTCTCTAGTGGCGATCTATTGTTGCTGTTTGGTCCTAGTGTGGTTGGTAGTTAGTGCTTTTAACCTTCGCTGTAGCACTGGCGTAGGAGAATTCAGAGTGAGTCCTGCGTCTAGGGTTTCCTCTCTGTGCAGCAGTTCGTCTGGAAACGTACACAGTGCGGTTTCGTCGTTGGAGGGGCTGGCAGATAACAGTATGATGCCTGTGCTTAATGTTTGAGATTATTGAGAAGTTCGTTTCTTCTCTCAAGTGCTTTAGCTTGTCGTTCAGTGATCTCATTCTTCGGTGCCAAGGCCCATTTTGGGACTCCACTAGGACGTAGACATCACTACGTTCAGCACACCTGCAACATGTGAGGAGCCTGGGCAACATATCGCAGAGATCCCTTCACTTTACAAGAAGCAAGGGTGGCCTCAGCTGTGAAGGCCGAGCTGCACGAAGACTCGAGGGCTACGAAGTGCCACAGAACGCCGAAACTAGCAGTTGCGCTGCGCTTCTTAATATAGCACGATATGTACACAGGCCGTGAATTACAAGCTGCAGCTGCTGTAGCTCAGCAATACGCAGAACCTTAGAAAAGTCTGGCGATAAGTGCATGCTCGATAGCATGAAGCAAATGATTGTTTCATGTATGACCTAACAACAATGACGGACAGAATACGTCAAGTTTTGGTAAGAGGGTTTTGTATTGTTAGATCATTAGATTCGCTTGTGCACTTCTTGCCTGTTATGCAGCAGGGAGCCACTGACCTTCCAAAGGCCCAACTGCTGCCTGTTTAGCTTTTCCTAGCTAGTGTGGTCTAGTGGAACATCATACTGATGACTGAAAACTTAAGAATGCAAGCATACATGTTCGTGAGGGCTCATTCAGTCTGCTTTCCATTTGAACGGGTAGAAGCATTTACGAGCCTCCTTGGCTGGAGGGTTGGGAACTTTTCCTCTTTAAAAATACGTCTCGTTTGAACGGGGCTATGCAGTGCTTTTGTACTTCTTTCCACTTATAAGCTGTCAGGAACCTGGTTCCTTTATCCAATTGAAAAAAACCCCAATGTTTTGCGCATTTCGAGGCCTATATGTGCCTGTACAAGATGTTTTTGAGCACATATATGCATACGTCTTAAAAGCAGTAGTTGTGTTTGTATGGTGGACCATTTCAGTCGTTATATTTCATATGCTCAATGGGTCAGATCCCTAACGCAGTTGGTTAGTCTCTTCTACGAACATGCCTTCAAGAATTTTGAAGTGGGGTTATACAACTTTGGTACAATCATGTCCCACTATGGTGTGCCTACCAAGGTTTGAAACCCCAATTCATAGCTTAAAGCGACCCAAAACATCATTTTTTCGATGTGAAGTTTGCAGCAGCTTTCGCTCTGTCTTTCTCTTTGTGTCTTATCTGACGAGTCTGGCCAGGTAGCAAAAACAGCTCCAGGAGTTGCCAAACTTCAGGTCCAAGCTACCATGTGTGGTCCGCCTTTTTCTCTCCTCCAGTCCTCTGTCGAGGGCCACTATGTGTAAGTGGCATTTATTCATTTGACCTTCGACTGTCCTGGGTAGCTATATCAATACATACTGGTCCTGCAACCCTCTGGACCAAGCAGGCATTATCTGCGTCTCTTGTGCCGTCTTGTTTTACCACTAATGTACGTTCTAGGACTTCCCTAACAAATTGGTCCATATTGAGCCATATCTGCGGAATTTGATAGTCGCTATAGCACATTATACCACAGTGGACTCTTCAGCAGAGAATGCGCATAAGTTACTGGTAGTTTTGGAGGAGCAGGAGTCTGATTCTATAAAAAGCAGTTTGACTCAACACCTAGGAAAATATGCGAAATGCTTGGGAGTAAAATATAGGCAGATACGTTACATGTGGGACTACATTACGAATATCTAAACCCAGATTTGCTCGGTTGACCTTGCCGCCGGGCAAAGAGCAAACTGTAAGTAATGCACAGCACTACAATGTAGTGCACGTATCTGTTTCAGTGCTATATACATCAGACTATTTGTTTGATGAGAAAACTACAAGTCACCATGAAACGGGGCCTAGTCCTCTGGCGGTTAGGCCCAATGTGCGATGAAGCGGGGTAAAAGGGTTCAGGATGGGGAGAGACACTGGCGCTGCAAAAAGCAGCACTGCCATGCAAGGACGGGGAAACACCCAGAAAAAAATGTATGTCATTGGAAAATGCGCCTAGTCCGAAGATGCTTGCTTCCTTTCAATGTATAGATGGTTTCTTTGGTGAGAACCTCTACGTGTGCAGATACGTTTAAAACCACAGCACGATAAACATGAAGAAGCCAAGCTGCGCGCAATTCACTGCACTATATGCCGCAAGTTTAAATACAACTGACGCGCGCTGGGAATAGTTGCCTTTTATATTCCTCCTGGTAAGGCTAGGTCCCTCAGGCGCAGCCTTCAAGTGCAGCGCTATCAAGAGGCCAATCTAGTTTTTACTTTTGAAATACGATTCGTTGGAGTAATGATTGAGGTGATCGCAGCGTGCTAGCAGTCGTGAAGAACAGGATGCAGGTGCCCGTAAGGAACTCGAAGTTCGACTCTGAATGCGCTCCCCGAGCATACAGGCGTAGGCCTTTCCCCTTAGCCGAGTATGGAACAGATTACCTACTTGTCCTCCACCAATCCAATGGTTGGACTCCTCGTCGTCGCTGCCCCCAACTCATTTCCCCTTTCTTTCTTGTACTCAGCTTTGTCGTGTGCAGTATCGTAGCATGTGTTTTGATGCGATTCACTTTCGCCTTCGCCGTCGCTACGTTTAGCGCTGCCCTGCTTCTACCATCGCTGGTCTCCTGCCTCATTTGAGTCGTATCTCAGTTTGGTTCATCTCTTTCACCACGCAAGAGGCGCATTCGCTCCCTTTTTTTCTACATTTGTCCAATTTTTTCGTTGTAGTGCCTTTTCTTGGGTGCAAATATTTCGCACGTGCGAAAGTTTCAGACGTTGCTCGCAAACTCTTGGGTGCTACTGAGTAGCCTGGGCACCGGTAGAGAGCTCGAATCCTGCTCGTGAGGAAGCGGCATCACTGAAAGCTTTCTCAAGCGTTTGTTGAAGGGCGAAAGCACAGGATATCTCATGAAGCTCGACGGCAATGACGTTGTTGGGCGAGCCCATTTACGAAGTAGAGTGTCAGGCATGGACTCTTCCGTAGGGACCTCCTCATAGTTAAAGCGAAACAGTTTGGAGGAAAGCGTGAACGTCATTAACACTCCTGGAACTTCTCTTTCAAGTTGGCATCGCGCAGAAAGTTGAGGGGAACACTGTACTGCACAGGCACAACAATAGGGCTTGCTGGTGACCCATAGAAGATAGAGCTGGCGACCTACAAGGGGTCAAAACACTGAACGAGGACAGGACCCTCTTATTGGAATCGAAGTAAGGCAATTTGTCGGCGAATTAGCATGCATACACTAGACTTGCCTGTAAATACCTGGAGATTGGGGCTGGCGATAGCGCCGGCACCGGTGCAATGGGGCAACCCTGGGGTCCCCCCAGCAGCTCCCTGTGCGTGTACTCCTCCACGGGGTAGAAGTTGTACCAGTAAACAGCGCCTATCGAGAAGCAGCCGCCCACCATGTTGCCCAGGAAAGTGGGAACGAAGTTCTGAACAACAACAGAGCCCACTAAGGCCTCGCAGCCCATCATCAGCGTCAGCTGCAAAGTGTAGAAGTTCGGTATGAGGCGCTCGTAGCCCGCCAAGCAGAAGCTGACGATGGGAAACCACAGACAAAATTTTGCTCGCGGGGTCGTCGCAGCCCACTAGCTAGCTATCTTCTTTAGGACACCAGCAAGCCCTATTGCAGTGGCTGTGCACTACACCTCCTCCCCACAGGGCCTCGGAGGCGAGAACCCCGAGTGGGGGGTGATTTTCAAGAGAACAGATTTTGAAAAACTATAATAACTGTATTTCGTGATATTTGGACTACTGTTTCAAGGAAATGCGCCGAAGGTACACCTTTATCATAGGCCCCTACTCGTGGGGTAGGTAGCAGCGTAGTCGCAGCAGTAGCTCCTGTGCACTACAAACATAGTCTCAACAGCGTAGACCAGCAGTTCTCCTGTGATCTGCCGCCTCCTCATGTAAGCAGCAAGGCTCTGTGCTTTTCTAGATTTTGAATCAGAGTCATACGCGTTAGGCAGCCGTGGCTTTGCACTGCCTTGTGTCCGTCACATGCACGGTTTCCTCAGCAGTGCACTTCGCCAGAAGCCAGTCCCAACCCCGTCGCTAGGCGCCTCTACGGCCCCACACTGAAGTTTTCTTGGCGGTGAGGCGCACAAGGCTGCCTTCTCGAGCTTGTACAGGATGGCCGTACTGAATGCGTCTTTTGCTCTTGATTCTCGGATTTCCCTTGTTCAAAGAATTTATGCTCCGTTCGTTTTAGCCTCTGTAGCTGATTAGATGCAGACAAGCATTTACGGCAGATGATTCGCTTGACCAGGGGTCCGGCTTCATCCCCTGGTGCGTGCCCGCACCGCACCGCCCTGTAGGAGGGCTGGTCCGTATGTCCGGAAGTCCCATCAGTAACGCAGCACTAGTCCCAATTGGGCATGTGAGGAGCAGGCTTTCAGATGTAATGTGCTAATTAAGGACAAAGTGGGGAGCTAGGAGTGATATCAAGGCGCCAATGTGGACGCCGATGTGATTCGCGTGTCTGTGATGATAACGCCACTTGTGAGGAAGAGCTTGTGTGCGAGGACGAGACATAGCGTAGCGTGGTTTACAAGGTAAAAGATGACTTAGAAATCCAGTGAAGGCGAAGAGTTGCAGTACGTTCACATGGAACTGGCGGCAGAGGAAGGAGCCACCTGCAGGTATCTATGTGTGGTGCATAGGCACTGCAGTGGTTCCCCATTGAGCCTATAGTGAGCCTAACTGAACTATTCCATGGAACAAATACGACATAATGTCCACATAATGTCGTATTAGTGTTAAGTCAGATCAATTCAGCAAGAGATAGAGCCAACCACCTATGAGCGCTAACCGGCTAGGAACGCCAACTGACTAGGAGAACCAACCACTTACCAAGGTTTTGGGGTTCGCTGAGTTGCTCAGACACCGACCCACCTTAGGGGTTCAGAGTCAGAGAGCAGATATTTCATAGTCCTCTTTCCATAGAAAATGGGACTCGAAACATGGCTTGAGGTTAATTATATAGGCTTAAAGAGTCTTCGCGCGATTCGTCGGGATGCTCCTGGCAGAGAACCATCTAGGGCCCTACGCAGTGGCAGCAGTGAGTGCGCGCGCACACTACATTATGCCCAGCTTGACTCCTCCGTGTGTCTAGCGTTGTGGCTCTGTATGTTCGTACCTAACAACACTCACTAAACACACCGTTTAAACATCAAAGGGGTTCAAACATCATTATTATAGTTCTCTTTTTCGAAGGGATATGTTTGTTTGCTCCTAAATATTTCTCTTTCCCTGAGTGACCGCCTTGATGAGCGCTGCAGCTTCAGTGGCTCACGCCAGCCCGAAGTCCCAGGTCAAGCTGCATGTAGAGCATATTGGGCCTGGTCGCCTTTGGGCTAAGCTTCTGAATGATTCTAGTCCTTGCGACAGTCCGCACAATTCTAATTACACGACCCTGGAGGCCATTTCTGAGCTGCACTGTAGCAATGGTAGGATAGAGTCGAGTATTCAAGCTCTAGCGGCCATTCCTCCGTCGACTCTAGCACTCGGGCCTGAAAGCGCTGCTTCAACGAAAAGACCAGAAGCAACATAGTACTGACTGTATTCGCCAGCCGCTTCCGACAAATGGGGGCTGAAGCTTTCGCCTTTGTTTGGATTCGTCAATGCTTTCGGAACTGAATTACAGCGTACCCAGCCTGTTCTCGGACAGTAACGTGTAGCACTATAATGCTCCACCAGTACCACCCCGTAAGGTTTCAACTTTTATTATCTCACACATAAAGCATTATTAAAATATTTGTAGCTCGAAAAACCTGGCTGTCTTCGCAGATGTAGCCTAGGGTGTTTAGTTGGAAAGCCAGGGATTTAGGCTAGCTGTGTCACCAGTACAGCCTGCTGCACCGGCGACAGAGCTAGCCCACACCGAAGGACACCGAAGGACTCGGGGAGGCCAGAACAGAAACAGACGTGAATCATTTGCTTTTAAGGGTGTATTCGGGCTCCTTTGATCTTCCTGGATCCATTACCTATCCACCCAGAAGGGAACCACGCAGGAGTGAGGCGAGGCCGCGCTCACCAGACAAACCACAGCGCTCTGCCAAAGGTTCGAGAAAGCCAACACAAGCCCATTAAAGTAGTTCGCTGCATCTTGGTCCTGCACGATTTTTCATTCTAAGTCGAACAATGCGAGGGGTGCTGCCACCACGCATCACATCACTGATGTCATAGTACGCCAGTGATGCCTTTGCTGATGCGCTGCACAACTAATTGGGTGGCTTTTACACCGACGCCTATAAATCTGGCTGTCCTCATTGGCAAACTGCTGGATATAGTGGTATTCCTACTCAGAAGAAACGAGGTGTGACAATGAAAAGCCTACAGCTGCTCGCAAATGCCCCAGGCGAAGCGTCTTCAGAAGTACCGCAAGCAGCGGAGCCTAATACTGGTCTAGGTATTGTGCTGTGCGAAAAGAGAAGTGCAGTGCACAGGCACTATATTGGTTGTCCCAGCGAAATTATAGTGGCCTACTCCATGGAAAGGACACGAAATCATGTAATATTGATATTAAATCAGACAAATTAGGCGAGAAAGAGGGCCAACCGGCTACGAGTTCCACCCAGAGCTGTGGAGCAAACTGAGTTGCGGACGTGTCATCCCAAGTTAGTGGGTCACAGTTATGAGGAAGCTCTTTTGCGGCTTTCCTTTCATGGATCAGAAGGGGACTCACACATGATTAATGACTAAATGTGTGGATTAAGGGAGGCTCCTTATGGAGTGTCCGGATGCATCTCGCAGAGAAACACTCAGGCCTTTTGCGTAGTGGCAGCACTGAGTCCGCTTACGCACTAGAAGAAGCCCGTATGCGCTAGAGCCTTAGCTTTTCTATCGGACGGTTCACGGGATGTTACTCTGGTGAAGTGGCTGGAGTCTGCACGACCGGGCCACTTTTTTTCAATAGCACTTTCCCTTAGGATAAGTAGCATTGATCAAGCAAAATGAGATAGTTTTCCTTTTCTCATGCCTTCGCAAGTCCGTTTGTCGCGGGTGTGAGCGGAAGACGCGGTGCACGATATTTCTACTAAACGATTAGTCTTTGTTAAATTGTGCCTACAGTGCTTGCAGTCCGCAGTGGTCTCTTGTACTAAATATGCCATGAAAGCTTGTATTCAGTGCCGCAGCAAAGGCAGAAAGGGCATGAAGGATATTCCGAGGAATCATGTTTCATAAAAAAGATGCTGGGAGAGTGTTTCTTGCCCACTGAGCTACATGGGCTCCTGGGTATAAGTGTTCGTTGTGAAACCGTCATAGTGGCGGTTGCCGAGCTTTTCACCCGCTGCGCCGGATTCATGCCGACCATTCCTTTCAAATATCATTTTCTGAAGACTCCTAGATGCCAATGCAGCGCATAGTTGCTCCAAGGCGAAGCTTACGTCGTCTCGTTTGAAGAGACCAGACAGCACATGGCTTCACAGATCCTGTGGACGTTCTGCGCACACATAAAAATTAGAAACGTATGTAGGTGAGTTTAGAAACCTCAGGGTCTATAGGAGATAGCTTCACGTGAAGCTGTTTAGTAGATAAGGGGAGAATTCCATAGAGGCCACAGGTTCTTGTGGTGATGCGTGCCTACAGCCTCTTCTCCTTTACAAGTACTTGCACACGTGTTTTCTCTGGAAACGGAGGCAAGCCTTCGTAGATACACGGCGAAGTGGTGATGGACTAAACTATAAGCAAAAGGGGGACTTCAACTTAGCTGACGCTCAAAGATGCTGTAACAGAAGCACTGAGAACAAAAAATGATTAGCAGGCACCAACTGACGGGGAAGTTAGCAGTGCAGTAGAAACTCCAGTTGCTATGCAAGAAGCATTTCATAAGCTATACTAATATCTCGCCGAGGTGATGACGCGTTTTGCTTGGCAGCGGATACGAAGAGCGCTTTGAGAATGATTCTAAATATCTTGTACAAGACTTCCGTGGAGGCTTTTTGACTTTGTAATTCGAGATGAGCGTGAGGTCTCAGATCCCCCAGAGCTTACAGCAGCATGAGCTCGAATTTGTGGAACTGGTGATGTCTGCACCTTCACGCCCAACGAATGCTACGACTAAATGCGGTGGGTTAGACAACAAATTGGATAGCCAGAAAATTGAGATGTTCGGTTAACTAGGATTTTAGTCGGGGAAACAACCTGCTAGAGCTGCTCCCAATAAACTACAATAATTGGCGAATAGCTTCTGCTTAAAAATCAGATAAGTAGCAGACTCGAAAAATGCACGAACGGTGGCGCTGAATACAGGCTGTCCGGACGGCTCTCACACAAACTGTAGGCATCCCTTGGAACTGAGCCTGGAAGGCTCTTAGGCATGGGCGCCTGCCCAGGTGGAAAAAGTAGATGTTTTGTGGGCACGAAAGTGTATCTGAACTTTGGCTTTTCCCCCAGTATCAGAACCTAATGCTACTAGATATCCAGTACTCCACGAGGATGCAGACATACAAGGACACTCCGTTGCCCTTACCATCACAGCTGGAGCTGGGCGCCTGGATAAAAGGAACTCAATACTCGCTTTTTTCCAACTTACCACAGGTCTTCAACTCTACGATTTCATTCTGCCGGCAGCGCTACCTAGTCTCCACTTCTAGTGCACAGGACCTATGAAGCTCAAAATTGCGCAACGGGGCCCAACAAACTCGTTTGGGCAGTCTATCGCATACTAATGTCCTAGGTGGCTCTCCTTTCTCGGCATATACTCAACGCAAGGGGCTGCCAATGTGAGATTCAGCACCATGCCGCTGCAGGATAATGGCGCTGAGGCTCGCATGTGTGCTGCCGTAAATTCACTGCATGCTCCCACACTGCACAGTTGCAAGTTATATTCTTAGAAGCAGGGCGCACGAGAGGAGCCTATAGCGTTTATGGATCTTTTCAGCACATACTGTTCTTCTAGAAAACGAGCCTTCCTGTCTGCAGCTGGTGCTTGGCTACAACGACACTAAAACACAACGGGCAATGAAACGTATTATTTCTTATCATCCAGAAGCAAGCATAAATCGTAGTAGTTTTGCATATGTTCGGAAGAAGCAACTCGGGAGGCTCCACCTCGACGACATCCCTAGCCACGAGCCAGCCCCCGTTTCAGTCGGTGGTGCACACTAACGCGTTTACAGGGAAATGGAAGAGTTTGGCGTCCAGTTCTCTTTTTATATTAAGACAACGCTTTATTAATTCTGAGTTATTCATGAGCAGAGCTTAATTTCTCCCTTGTTTGTGCGCGGAATGTAGTTGCCAGCTCAGCGCTCGTCACTCGGCATGACATCGCTGGCCAGCAGACCTCGAGCAAGACCAGCCGCGTGCTAGTACAACGCATTTCAGAGCCTTCGTTGCAATTCTAGGTATACATTTTTGCAGATGACGACGAACACACTCATCTAATCGCCGAACGAAGCTAGCTGCTGCCCATTTCTCTTCCAGAGGACGGTGGACCACTAGCCACAAACAACGTTTAGTACTGAGATTACTGTCGGTAACCCGAGACACCTTGAATACCTTGTGGCTAGCAAAATATCACAGTCAACGGCGGCAGCAGCTTCTCTAGCCCGGTGGCAGGGGGGACAGGAAGACGGCTCGGTGATCTCTGCGATTTTAGATATCGGCACGCTGTATATTGCTGTCAACACGAGCCAATTTGCGAGGTAGACAAATTGCTGAAGACTGCTCTTTAACATAGAGTGTGGGCGCATGCTGGCTACTTCGGTGGAGCTTCAGCAGAAGGTCAACGCAGCGGTAGCACTGGGCGCTGCAGAAATTCAGGGTTGTTTTTGCTTTGGACCTAGAGCGCATTATAACGGCGGTTACCAAGCACTAACTGTGAATTTGCAAGTACAGCTATAGTAGCAGTAGCCACTCCCTTGGCGCTGTGCTGAAGGTCAGTAGCGGTTGGAGGGCTGCATAAAAAGCTGCCGCTTTGCTTCTGTTAATTCCACCTTAAAGTAATCTTCTTGAGGGGAGATGGTTAAAGAACATGGAGGAGGCAAGGAACGCCCCTCGCCGCTTAGCCGTTCTCCCCGGCTGCACGTACCCCCACGAGACACTCCAGCCCTGGCAGTCCAGGGACGCCGTTTAGCGGGTAGAGGAGATCAGTCACCGCCAGAAGCAGATGAAGAAATCCGCCGATTGGCTTCGATGATCACGAGACAGGCATCACGAGGCTTCACTGGAGAAACTTGGTGAGGAGAAGAAGGCACTCTCTCGCTTGCATCGTGACAGCTTAGTTTGTACCTTCACTCGCTGTGAAACAACACTGCGCATTTGTTGCATATTGCTAGATGATGGACCGGATAAGTGCGTGACACCCGCATTGCTTTATGTCAAGCAGCGTGACGCTGCCTATGCAATGCACACATTTGGCCACTTGCCGCTATAACATGGCTTCGCTCGCAGTCTCTTTATGTACAGGTACGACTTCGACTTACCTCTCAACAGGACTGACCCAATAGTAATTTTACATTTCAACGATGTCTACAACATCGACACTCGAGAAGATGGTTCCGGCGGCGTGTCTCGTTTTGTCACCGCGATGCAACGCTTCAGTCATTTGCACCCCTTAGTTTTTTTTTCAGGTAATATAGAACTTTCTGGGTACACAGTTTGTGGGTAGACTGTTCAAAGGACAGCTTTTTTGGGTTTCGGACTCGCTGAGGGAGCGCAGCATTCTAGCCTTTGTGAATCGTGTTCTCGTCAGAGATTGAGTTGCTTCGGGTGTCTGGCTTTGACGCTGAGTTCGCAGTTGGAGTGGGCTATACCTGTTCAGGTTTGTTCTCATAGGTGTACCAATGCCCTACTGTTTTCTTCGCAGGAGACGCTCTAAATCCCTCTTTAATGAGCACTTACATGAAGGGACGACAGATGGTTCCATTCTTGAACCTCCTGAAGGTGCACACTGCTTGCCTTGGCAACCACGACTTCGACTTCGGCATTGACGAGCTTGAGTACACAATTGGGTCATGTAATTTTCCTTGGCTGCTTACAAACGTTTTCGAACGGTCCAGTTCGGATGACCAGCGCAAGCTGGATAGATATATGCATGGCTGTGACAAAACGTCATTATCTCGTGAAGGTTCCCATGGCGATAAGCGCGAAGCGTCCAGTGGTGCCAGTGGGGAGCCTGGCAGCAAAGTAGTCGCTGACTCCGCTAGTGATGACTACATCGGACTTCCAGGAGAGCCAATAGCGAACGCATGGAAGTATCGTCTTTTTGAATGGCAAGGTGTCCGGATTGGTGTAATTGGCCTTGTTGAGCGAGGTAAAGCAGCAACGTAGCAACTACTTTGGCTTCTTCTCACCCATTCCTGTCAGTGCTTGAGCTTTATCCAAAATTACAGCATCCCCGTGATGGAAAAGTCTACATTACTCGACAGCGACTGCTTGTTATTATGTGTTCTGGCTGCGAGCTCAGAATGGTTAGATACCTTGGCGTGCATCAGCGCAGACGACGTTGTATATGTTGACTATGTAGTAGCGGCGAACCGGATGTGCCGGTTCTTGAGAGCGAAGGAGTGCGAAGTGATCATTGCCTTGACACACATGAGGGCTCCTAATGACCAGCGGCTTGCCGAGATGGCCCCGGATATCGACCTTATTTTAGGTGGTCATGACCATGACTACTATGGATTGCAAGTCATAGGTCCGCCAACGCAGAGCCGAGAGAACAAAAGCACGCAGCGACGTGAAGCCGTGGCGTTGGAGCATTTCACTTGCATGTGCCTATTTTTGTCATTATAACGATCAAGTCCTAATAGGCACAAAAGCACGCTTTATTGCGTCAGGCAGTTCTCGGCTGGAGTTCGACGGCAGAGTGCATGGCAGACCTTCCTCAATATTGCGTTATTCGGTTTTCAGGCGGTACACCTGTGGTCAAGTCAGGAACAGACTTTCACGATTTCACAGCGATCGCTATATTCCCCGGCAATTCTTCGCCTCAGCCAAACCTACTGTCAACTGCACTAATTGATGACTCAGGACAGCGAGTTGGTGCAGCTGCCATAGCCGCTGCAGCAATCGCAACTGCACCGCGGACACTGGATGGAACAGACTCACCAACGGCAGCCACAGCCAGTGCAATAGCCACGGCAGTTGCCGTGGCTGAGGAGGTTTCAAACAGTCAGGCAGAAGAGCTTAGCCCGAGCGAGCTGGCGTCTCAGTTGCTTCAGGCCAAAGGGAGAATTATTTCGGACAACAGCCAACCCTGCGGAGATTCGGAAGGACGCACTTTGCTTCTCAGGCCTGCCGCACCGGCGCAGTCACAGAGTGAGCTGATCTTGGAGCGCCTTACCAGTTCTCAGTGTGGCACGTATTTTGAGACAAATGTACCAGGACGTGCCACAGATAGTAGTGCGGAGAAACTGGTGGGTGCAGCCATCGGCTGTATTCGTTTTTCAGGTGAATTGAAGCCTTCAGATTGTCCAGGCGGCAGCGTCGTCATCCCGAAACTCTTAGGGAGATCTCTGGTTCAGTGGGAGCGTATCAGGGTCACGCCGGCTAACTTTGCAAAGAACAAGCACGTGGAACTTCTTGTAAAAAAATATGAGCGTCACCTCAAGCAACAAATGCGGAGGAAACTCGCGAGACTTGGCGCCGACCTTGAAACAAGATTTCGGATTATTCGCACTCAAGAAAGCAACTGCGGCAACTGGTTGTGCGAACTCATGCGCAAGGAGTGTAAGAGTGATATTGCATTCATCAACTCTGGTAGGTAACATTGCCCGTTTTCACATTCCTTACACCATACGTAGTATTACAGCTTTGCCCATGAACTGCTGGGAGAGATGGGAGAACTCCAGTAGGAAGAATTCGGACGTGTTCTGTGTGAGCCTTTTAAGCACGATACAGTAGAGTCTATAATGTCCTTCAGAGTTGGTGGTTTTTGTTTATTAACATAGGAACAATTAGGTCTGACTGCATTTTCAAAAAGGGGGACTTCCGGTTTGGGGACCTGGCAGCAATGCTGCCAATGGCGGACGAAATTGCTGTGGTTAGATGCAAAGGCTCGGTGCTTTTAGCAGCCCTGGAGAATGCGGTCTCCCAAGTGCCCAAGACAGAGGGTCGGTTTCTTCAAGTTGCGGGGATTAGATTCGAGTTTGACAGCAGTAAGCCTTCTGGAAGTCGCATTATTAGGGAGACTGTTAAAGTGGCACCGCGGGAGAGCTGTGCACAAATTTCTGACGGCCTTCCGAGTCTCGACCATTTTGTGCCCTTGGATGAGGACGCGGAATACACTGTTGCGACGAAGTCCTACGTTCTTCAGGGTGAGCCCTTTGGGTGTGTGGCGTCAGCTTGACTGACGTTTGAAGTTGCCACAAGGAATGTTGATGCGTACCCGTTAATGAGATTCCGCGTCGGCATGCATACGAGTGATTCGTGCAGTTGCTTCCTGCGCTTGAGCGTCTTTCGAGTCTGACATTAACACGAACCATTTTTCACGTGTAGGCTCTGGTTTCTATGCGTAACTGTATGCGTAGGCCGTGATGGGTTTACTATGTTGCCGAGTTGCCCAGTTCTCGTGGAAGGAGAGCTCTTGCCCCCACTACCGACGCTTGTGCGGAACGCCTTAGCATTGACAGCCATGGCTAACGGCCTCAACAAACCGCATTCACGCGTCGTGTCCCGCCAGCTTTCATCGTTTACAAGCCTCCAGCAAGATCAGATGCTTTCCAAGTTCGGATGCAAGAAGGACGATGACGAAGTGGTTCTCGCACCAAAATGTGATGGGCGGATTGTAGACAGGAACGCACAGCCTGCCTAAAATGAATGGAACTGAGTTAGTCCTGCTGAATGAGCCACGTTGCTTTGCAGAGGGCTTTTTGCGTCGGTATAGTCAGCTGTCGCATGCGCCAAAGGCGAGTGAAGAAGCCCACATGAAGACTGATGCAAATTTGTGCAACTACACAAGCGTCTTTCTCGTGCGTTTACAAACGTTTCTCAAGCCAGCTTGTAGCGGTTGCATACTGCGTGCTGGTTTGCGTTCCCGCAACTCGTAGCATACTATGTGTACAAGATCAGTGCCAGATGTAGTCAAGGCTAAAAAAATGGAGCTGCTCCCTTTGAGTGCGGAAGATGCAGGCAACATCAAGCCAAGCAAAGGGAACTGTCAGGCAGGACAACACACACGCAGGCTAGCTGCGGGAACAGCACACGCTTATCCCCGTGGAGCTCTTATTCTGCAGCAGACAGTTTGACTGTCAATTAACTCCTTTGAAGCTTGGGAATGGCTCTCTATGTACCAGAAGTGCTTGTTTGGGTGGCTAGTCCGCAATAAACCTTACATTAAGAAGAGCACAGGATGAGCAGACTGAAATGGTGACACGCTAGCGGTAAAAAGGATGCATTGCAGCACCCCGAGCGTCACTCCCCATGCAGCTGCTACTAGTCTCAGCCAGTAGACTACTAGGTCGAATACTTCGGGGTTAAGCAACGAGTGTCTAGGTAGCGATTCAAGTGGAAGCATCAAATCGAGGGACGTAAACTTCCAAACAGCTAGAGTACAAACATATTTCGGAAGAGCCAGCGCAAGACTGTCCTCAAGTCGCCTTTACGGTGAATGCGTTAAGCAATGGATAACAGTTAGCACAATTTGCCGTAGGGACCTGAAGCGTGCAATGGCTCTGGCGCGGACAGCCCACAAAAATGGATGCCATTTGCCACTGCGCGGAGGTGGCGCCAATTCAGCTAGTTAGCTGCTCTTCTAGCTCTTCAGCCAGACCACGCAGCATCTGCATGTCTTGGTGCAGTACTTCGGTAGGTGTTTCTGCAGCTCTGCGTCTTCGCCGGCGTCGTTTAGGGGCAGGCTCAGTGACAGCACTAGTTCTTGACTCTCGCGAGCACTTGTTACTGTATATGCGGCACCTCAGGGACCGAACAAGAATGCCGGAATTGCTACCCGTATTGCTGCACACACTGCCACTCAATCCAGGCAAGCACGCGCCTGGCTCTGCTTGTGGAGAAAAGCCTCCCGTGGAAGGCATTGTGCGCTTCTTCAGGGCAGTCACTTGCTGGTCTTCCGAGTTGCTTCCCGATATTGGAGCGTCCGCTGCTGGAGTCCTCGCTGCTGCTCTATCAGCTCCTACAGGCCCTAGGAGCGCCAAACAGGGGGCAGGAAAAGGCCCGATAATACTGCTGGAGGTATCTCTGGAAGGGGCTGATGAAGTGCTGGACACAGTGGCATTTTCCGTACGTGCCTGGGATGTGTGTTCGCTTTGCCCAGAGGAGTTTCTTGCATAACGTTCTAACAGCTCGCGAACAAGTACTTCAGCTGCAGCCACAGATGCCGCCGCTGCTTTTCTTCCAGCAGGCGCTCGGCTGAGGATCCTGAATTGCCTTGAAATTGTAGAACTACCCCAGTTAACGAGATTGCTGTGAAGAGCCGGAATAACTAGTGGGCCTCGACGTACTGTGAAGCCTAAGTTGCCAGCTAGTTGTAATAGTCTTTGCCTCAGGCGACTCTTGGGACTCTCCTCCACCGCGAACAGCTCAAGCCGTGGCAGTCCTCGCAGTAGCAGCCGCAGTGACGTTGCATTTCCCCGAAGCTGTTGCACTACGCAGCTACGCAACTGCGGTAATAGCTGCGACAGTGCAGCCACAGCTCTGTGGCAGTTCCAGAAACACCAGTTGCGGCTGCAGCCGAAGTCAGCCTCCCGGCCTCGTTGAGCTCTGACCTTCCGCCGAGCCGCCTCAGACTCATCTACCCGTCGAAATTCGCTTGCCCCTGAAAGCGGCTCCAACGGGTACGAGAGTGCATCCGTCACACTGATTTGTAGGAGTCTTCTCAGGGCCACGAGCCGCTGATGGCGGCTGCGGAGCCTCCTCAGACGTTGAAGATTTTCCCGGAATCGATGGTAGCGCTGCAGCTGAAGATGCTCTTGCCGTGCCGCGCTGCCAGCAGAGCTGCGAAAATTGGCACTAGCTAACGACTCTAGGCGTCTCTGGAGCTGCTGCAGCTCCTGTCGCATGCCACTCAGCTCGCGAGCGAGGCGTCTTTGTGTCTCCTGATGCTCATGTTGCTGGGAGGACTCAGATGCTCCACTGGTTCCGTGTATTTGCGCTTGACGGCCCGACATCGTGGCAGACAGACGTTTCAACCGTCGACGCCGTGCACTATATTCTTCGTACAGCCGTCGTTGACGCACAAGCAGGCGGGCAGCTTCGTTGTTCCGCTGCGTCTGTGTACGTTGCATGGAAAGCTGTTTTCTCCTCTGCAGTTGCTGTAGCCTCTCTGCTTTCCTGCTATCAAGAACGCGCTGCCAAGCCAGAGACAAAAGCGGATTTACAGCAGCCGCAGTGGCTAGGGCAAGACGAACGAGAACTTTAGCATCAAGTGTCCACAGGTGTAGCTCCCTCAAGCACGCAAATGGTGAACTTTCTAGAGGTGAGAAGTTCAACGGGAGACGCAATGCCTGCAGAAGCTTATGGGCGTCCTGAGTGGACCTTTCTGTACTCCGAATTATTCGTAGTTGTTGTGATGCCATGAGCGTTCGTGGGGTGGATGCTCCAGTTCCGCCAAAGAGACGGCCTTGGTACCGTAGAACCTGCAGATTACGAGCTCCTCCCCCTGCCAAAAATGAGTCAAAGTCATCATCTCCGCGCTGCACCTTCAAAACGCCACACACAACGCAAGTGGGAAACCACTGCTTCTTGGCTTCGACGTTAATTGAGTATAATGTGCGACCTCCGACCAAGGCTGTGATGTGTACTTTCACAATGGAATTGCTGCAGTGGAAAAACTGAATAATTTACCTGAAGTTCAAGGAGGTTGGGACACGAAAGATTTGGTGTGAAAAAAAGGGCCGTGCCCACGTATTTCCTTATTTGTAGGGTGACTTGTGGTCGACTCCTTGAACTCAGAACCTCTTCATCTTCAGTTTCGAGGGCCAGAGGAGGGCTCCTAGACCGCCGTCGGGACAAATTTAGACAAGGATCTCTGACGCACAGCCTCTCAATATTCTTAAGAAGTGCTACAAACCATACCACTGAATCTGAATCACCTTCAGTATTGAGACTCTGCAACGCCCCACACTGCGGGAGAGGCTCTGCCAAGTAGGGAAGGAAGCTCGAATGACACTGTAACTGCTTCAACTGGCCAAACTTCAGACCGAATAGGAGCTTCGCACTACCATCATCTCGTTCTCTACATGTGAGATCTTTCTGATCTAAGTCTTGGCCAGTGACGAGTTGATGGGATACGCACGGAACTTCCTCGCCCCGAAATGGGTGGGCTTCTAAGTCAACTAGGTCATCCGCAAAGTCCACGTTTTGTCTTATTTGAGCGCTGAGCTCCCCACTAGGCGCCTGCGATCGCTGCTGATGAACTGAAGTGCTGCGGCGGCGCCATATATCAGATACTGTACGTGCGGCTAGGTCTGCAATGCCTGCGCTAACAGCAGCAGTCGGGGCTGCACTCGTGGACACACATTCGGGAAAAGTTCCAGCACATCTGTCGGCTTTGAAAAGACTCGCAGGATCCATTAGGGGATGAGCACGGTGAACAAGCAGGAGACGCTGGAGGGCCTTAGTTGCCACAGCCTCATAAGGCAGCATGCGAAACGGCAGTGGCTCTGTTGTCGTCCCAGCCCCTAAAAATGCGGCAAGAGGTGGGGCTGTGCCCTTCACATCCAATACACGTAGGCTTCTTCCGTAAGTGCAAAGGAATGCCCAGAGAAGCGAGAAACCAGGTATGGGTTTGCTGACAACTGAGCCCCATGTTTCTGGAAGTCTCAGCTCTTCTAACCGTGGCATCAGCAGACAACTCAGCAGCATGAAATCTGAAGTCCGTACAGCTCGCAGTCTCGGCAACAGTACCAACAGCAACTCCCCTCCTGAGCCCCAAGCGCAAGGAACAGCACAGCATTCGTTTGGGAGATGACGAACGTGACGGCAGCCAGTTCCCACTGCAGCGCATAGACCCGCTGCCGCAGAGAGCACATTGTCAACGGCTTCGTGAGCTGTTGAGGCCTTTGCCGGTGCGGTCTGCACTGCTGCGGTCCCCGCTGCCAGCCTGCTAGCGTTAGTTGCGGCTATACATCCAGACACAAGCGAGGAGGTTGCAGTCGGGGAAAGCGAGCCGCACGCCTGCGTCATGACCGGGTCAAAGACAGTGCTTTGGGGCACTGAAGAGGGATCGTAGATATTAGCAGTCGACAGGGACGCAGGCGCGAAGCTCCTGCGCGCATGCCGCTGGCCCCTTTTAGCTCGTACAGGCGGCGCTGTTGCTGTCAAGAGGTGGCGGAGTCTTGCCTTGATATGTGGTGCCCTAGGTGCTTGATCACTCAAGCTAGTCAGAAGGTTGCCAGCAGATGCAACTGAATGCAGCAGTGACTCATTCAGAGCTCCCACAGTATAACTCCCCTGGAGCAGCCGAATGTTGTAGCCGCTGCGAAGCAGAAAATGCAGTAACTCCTGCAGCGCAGACTCGGAATGACCTGAAGGCGCAGGCGCACTGCGTGCTCCACCGGGACCCGGCATGCGACCTGCCCACTCTTCTAATGCCAAAGTGAGGTGCGAGTAATCTGACTGTTCACGGTGCAGCAGGGTCTGCTGCAGTTGCTGATGTTGGTGTTGCTGTCGCTGCCGTTCCTGCTGTAGTCGGCTGGGTGTATCTTGGTACCGCGTTGCTGTATTGCTGGTGAGGTTCAGCTCCTCCAAGTTGGGGCAATGCAGCAGTTGGAGCAGCCGCCAGCTCCCCACCACAAGGTTTTTCAGCTGCGGTAGTATGAGACGAATGCCTTCGAACTTGCGCCAAAGCCTCAAGGCGATTTCTGCTGAGGATACACAACAACAACAATTTTCGATTTCAGCAATCCTGCAGCGAAGCTCACTTTTGTGGGTTCCTTTGCGCCACTCCCGCCAGATATCCGAGGTGCACGAAAGTTCAACGCATCCTCCGCTTTGCTCGTGTTGGCGAGATAAGTGGCCTTCGCTAGTTCGGCAGTGGCTCTCTTGAAAATCACGCATCTGCCGCTCCCGTTGCTGCTGTTGCTGTTGTTGTCCGCCCCCTGATGCTTCTGATTCGAATGAGTTCAAACTGCTGCGGCACGTACTTCGTTGCATACGTTCTCTCAGAACCTGCGCCGTAGCCAAGAGCATGCCCCCAGATGCCTGTGGTCTGCTCATGACTTGCCGAGCAGTTGCACAGTGGTCTCTTCGCGTTACATGCGGGCCAACAGTGCTCTCTAGTGCTGCGGCTGTGGTAAGAAGTGCGTCGCCCAACTCTTTCGCCTGCTCATCACACGTGTCCCAAGGAGGCGGCGTCGCTGCCAGAGCCGTTAAAGTGGCCTCTGCTAATTCTGCCTCCCAGATCTCTAGGGACACTAGCGTCGTTGCGCTGCGCTGCACTACGCCAGCAAATGCATCTCCCAGCATTCGTGCAGTCAATGGACACCCGACTGATACACTAATGGATCGAATCTCCGATAGCTCCTTAAACAAAGAGCGGAGAAATAAAAGGTCTGGAAACTCTCCATTTTCCATGGCCATAGGATCCACGGAATTTATGACCAGCTCTGCATGCCGGCTATGAATAGCTATTGTCCTTATACAAGCCCGAATTGCTTCTGATGGCAGCTGCCGGTACACCGGGGGAGAGACGTGGATCATCGTGTCCGATAGACACAGACGGCTCCTTATTAGACCTAGCCATCTTCTGCACACGAGCGATCCAACCTTGATTCTCTCGTTCTGGGGTAGAAAACGCAAAATTGATGCTAAAAGAACATCTGGGACGTCAGAAAGGGGCGAACGGGCACTGCAACTGCTTCTGTTATCCCTGTTGTAGTTGCTGATGCTGGAACTTGGGGAAACTACATTATTCGTCGCGCTGCAAGCATCCGGAGACCCACTTCTGCTGTTTTCACTGCAGTCGCCACTGCTCCTGCCGCTACCACTCATGCTGCTGCGCCGCCGCCTCTATGGCGATGATTCGACACAGTCACTACTGCTCGAGGCGATTCAAAACCTGCTTTCGCTGCCCTGGGAGTGGGGACGAAGCCGTAAATGCTGGCTAAGTGGTAATATCCATTGGCGCAGCTAGCGTGGAAAATCATGGACTTAGTGTCCATGCTCCTGATGGGGATTTACTGTTTGCACGGGCGCATCAGACAAATGCCATGTCAAACGAATTCCGCTGTAGTTCAGCCGCGTTTGTGAATCCAAGATGGCAGACGCGCTTCCGTTGGAGACAGGCAGTTAATCATTAGGTTTGGCAAAGCGTGTTGGTCTGCCCCTGCGATGTGATGGGATGGTACAGCGTGTTCCATTCAGAGACCAGTGCGAAGGACACGAAAATGGGGAAGACCAGAAGCAGCTGAGTTAAAATATGAATGCCCTAACTCTTTAGTTTAGGGTGACGTCGTGCTTATGTTGGCGTCTTGTGAAATTTTGGTGTTTTTGCTGCGTCGCCGCAGTATCCGAAAGGCGTCTGCGAACGATGACAAGGGTGCAGTGCTGAAGAGGAAATGAAACAACAGCTTGCCTTGCTACAGACACAAGAAGTCTTCTCAAATAACATTTCTTTAAATGGAAGATGCGCAGTGAGGGAACAGTCAAGTGTATGTTTACACGGGGCCTGGAGGCGCAGCCGCCATCGGGCTGCGCCATGCATAAGAAAAATCTCTAGAAAACATGTAGTTGCTCCATGAATTGGTTTAGCCATTTCCAAATACTTTTGTCTTGGAGGTATTAAAGACATCCAAGAGGCTTCTCAGCTCAATGTCGTTTCTAACTGCTACTGGTTTCCCGCTGTGCACGAGAAGTCAATGGCACCACTCATCTTTGGCGGTGAACTCGCAAGTCGTAGCGATATGAGTCGTTCGCCTCTTTTGCAGTGCTCTAACAAACTGACAGCTCTAATCTCTACCGAGCTAACTGTAGCGGTTCTCCCTTCACATGACGCCTCGATCGCACGCAAGTGCAACGTGCATTACTCAATTGCCGGAGAGTTGTCTAGAGCTCTTCCAAAACCTTGGTTATGCAATGGCCATTACGTAAAGACTAAGCCGCTCTATGAAAGGAAAGTGTCTTGAAACCCCTCAAGGCAGAACTAACCACGTCACTACCTAATGCGCAGCTCATCTCAGCTGGACGATGCTCACTCTGCGGTACACATTACTGCGACAGTGGTCGAAACCCTTAGACGGGCAGTTCAAGCAAGGAAGCAGCTGATCAGCGCACGTCTACCACTTGCCCGTAATGATTCGAAGGCAGCCGGCGCATGACGCGTTATTGCCACCTCAAGGAAGATCCAGCGACACAGCAGTCACGTTTACCCGAAGGCTTGTTCGATGCGGCTGCCAGGCTGTATCAGCCGGCAGGAAGTGTCGTGTTGCCGCAGAAAACAATGTAAATTCATCATCGTTGTACATTGGAAGTCCTCGTTTACCCGGTCGACTACTCCGGTAAGACAATCTCGCGTCATCGCTTCAGGCGTGTTAAGCACAGCCATACTATTCCACGAACTTGTCTGGCCCTGAATAACCCGAGCAACTTATATGGGCAAAGTTGCTCAACAGAAACGCTTCTTCATAGCAAACCGTTAAGGGTGCGCCACATGAGCCCACGTGCGACAGAGACCATCTGCCTCACATGTTTGGCGCTCGACTGCGTGGCAAATTTAGCAGCAAGAAGCCCCCGGCTCCACGGCTCTACAGTGCCATGCGCCCCTTTCGTATGAATTTTGTTCATGTTGCTTAAACTTCAAGCATGCACGGTCCTGTTGTCCAAGGACTTGTGTTTCTGTAGGCCCGAGATTTCACACTACAAACAGATAAAGGAACCAGAGTGCAACACATTGGTTTAACAGTGCGATCTGCAAGCGCTAACAGTTTACCGCGACAGTGCCCGAAACAGCATAAGGTCAGAGACTGTTCATCAGTGTGCTATAAGGCATCCACCATCATACGGCTATACTAGACTTTCGGAGATATGCAATTACGATAACCGGCATTGCTTCGCACAACTCAGGGCTCCGTCAACACTGTTTACAAACCAACGGCCATCATGCAGAACTTTGGCTGTTCCGTTTACGAGCCAACGGCTCTGGTACGTTTTGTAAGAGTGGAAGAGGATGCTGCGAACGGCGTTTCATCCAAGTCCTTTGCTTTCTTCTCCACCTCTCCATTCACCGGCGCTCCCTGTTCGTCAGCCCGGCGAGTCTGCTGGTGTCCTAAAGAATTGTAATACTCGGGCCGAGAGTCTGGATTAACCACTGCAAAACCGTCAGAAAGTGAAGCGCTGAAGACTTCTGCCGGCATCGACTCAACACGTTCCTTCAAGTAGCATACTGCCTCCTGGACCCGGTGAAGAGGCACCCTGAGATTTGCAGCGCAATAGAAGAGCCCAGCATATGCTGCAGTCTTACAGAATAAGTACGCACGCATATCATTGCAAAATAACTCAAATACCTTGAAGGTAGAACCTTCAAGTGTTATGGGCAAGGCGGAAACGAAATTAGGTAAATGCATGACCAAAAAGGACTTACTCGAACGTCACTGCCTGTAGCAGATGAAGATCTAGCGGACGATGATGTAGAACGTGTATTGCCCGCATCAGCTGAGATTCATCGTCGTGGCGTCTCTTGTCTAGGCAAGCCTTAACCCAGCGCAGCGCGCACGGTGCCACACAAAGAAAGTCATACTTGCAGTTGTTGTTCATGACGTCGTCTGCGATCAAACACAAAACAAAGAAAAATAGCCAGAACCTCTCAGCAAAGGAAGGACACAAAAAACACCCTACAGAGGCCTCTTATTGACCAAAATATGCATACTCACGAGGGCCTTTCTTTTCCATTGTCAAGAAGTAATAAGCAGTCCAAATATCCAGCACAAGATGCGGCAATAAGTAAAACGTGCCAACGAGTAGCAAGTGCCCTCGCCACAACATAACCACCACAGTAGAGGCGACGAACAGCGTCAAAAATAGAGGCGCGAGAGCTGCAGACCAGCCGGGAAGCCGAGGGATGGCCAATGTTGCACTGTACAAGAACGGCCTGAGTTCCAGCAACAGCACCTAAAGCAGACTTGATAATGTTGCGTGGCACTCTATCCACGAAGGCAGAGGGACTAATGCAACCCTCGTTTGTTCGGATTTAAGAACTGCGAAGTCGGGACCCCAAGGGTTATCCGTACCTCAGCGCTGGAGTTTCACCAGGGACATTGAATCGCTTGCTTTGGTAGGGAATCATCAACGCGCCGCAGATCAAACCACCCACAATGTCAGAGAGGAAGCGGCTGCTGCTGAAGGTGCCGTTGGCCGCCACGAATGCATGCATCAGCAATGAGAAGAAGAGTGTACCCAGAACAGTGCTGCTGATGATAAGAAGTATTGGAAGCAATACATAAGGAGACGCCTCCATAAGAGCTTGTGGCGCACTGCCTAGACGCGATGTACAGGCTGAGTACGCCCACCAGGTGAGCGCGTATGCGACGCATAGCAAGAGGACATCAAGCAGGAGGCTCCACTGCACATAAATGCGTTCAACAGAGCAACCGCAGTCATACAAAGAGATGGGAGCTGTCGTATTAATCAGCTTGCTTAAAAAGGGCGATACAATTTAAATGCCTTGGACAACAGTGCCGGATCAACATAACGCTGCCATTCGTCCACATAGGCCTTCAATACGTACCAGAGACTGGAGTGTGCTTGTGTGCGCGCTTTTAACGCGTACGACCTCGCGAAGACTATGTACGGCAGCCAGAGCCTCACAGTTCTTGCGTGCCTCCGCGTCCCTTTGCTGCCTAACAACTGACTGTTGCTCCCTTTCTGCCTTGAGCATCTTCCAAGCGGTAGTGGCGCGCCGCAGATCCCAAGCCAGTCCGAGCCACGCGCAAATGTCAAGAACCTGCACAATATCCGTACCCTCATGCATCACTAACTGCAAAAGATTGCCAAGAGCTCGATATCTCTAAAGGAGGGACTAAGATGTGTCAACCCACCAGCTTGCTAGGATTGTACTGGTCGAGAACACCCCCTTCCGATGCCGCATAGTCATAGGGATACTTATGATGCCAGTCATGCCAGCCTTCCCCAACAGCAACCAGAGAAGTGAAGCAGCTCTCGCACGGGTTTCCTTCCACAGTGTAGCGCCGATCACCCCAGATATGTGCTGTACTGTTTACCGTCCACGTCGCATGAAGGCAGATACACCAGCGAAAACAACCTGAGGGCAGCAGACAATCATGTATCACAATGGGTAAAATGCACGCCGATTAGAAAGAACTGATGATGATGAACAAGTATGCTGGGAAAACCACAGCGCATCAGCGTCTTACCTAGTATAAAGAAACCTGCCCAGAAGTCGTTGTACTTATAGTAAGCGTAAATTGAAGGTGCGACGAAGCACCAGAACTGGTTCCACCAAGGGTCCATCTTGTGTTGGAACCGGACATACGGATCCTGCGCAGGGATAGTGCGTAAAAGGTAATGAATATATGGGGAAAGCCGTGCCGTGCAAAACGGCTTTCAGCCAAACACTTAGGGGACGAATACACCGACAAATCCAGGACCAAGTTGCCGCTCACAGCAATCAAGTCGTCAAAGCACAGCTGCTTCCCGGCCTCTCTCACGGACGGAGGCTTCTTCAGAAGCAACCATCCTACATGAGAGTAGAAGAATCCCCTGGAGGCGTTGTACGGGTCGCCTTCCTTATCACTATTCTTGTGGTGCACGCGATGGTCCCTGCACTGGAGACCACACAAATCGACATCAAAAGCCAACACAGCTGGACCTGTGGCATATCCGAGAACACTTGGTAATGCTCAGTCCACTAGTGCATCCCAATTTCGTACCCAGTGGAAGATAGACCCCTGGTTCGCCAAAGAAGTGAGCATCATCAAGACAAAACGAAGAGCTCCAGATGCCTTGTACGCACGATGCGACCACAGCCGATGTGCTCCACAGGTAATGCCCAAGCCTCCAACAACATAGAGCAGCATTGTCTGCGCAACAGAAAAGTCGGAGACCATGTGGAAACTCAGCCAACGCGTAACTCGAAGTATAACTATTGCGTTTCGAAAGGTACTTTTTGAAGCAAAATGGGAAGCAAGGGCGCATTCAGCTGGCGCACATCCGCAAAGAGTTCCCAGCAGCGCTCGTGCATCACAAGCTTCACAAGTCCTGCCACCGCAAAGGCGTGGAAGAAAGTGAGGAATGTTGCTTCAATGCTGCGGTACTCCTTGCAGAAGGCCTCAATGTAAAACTTGACGAAGAGAAAAGCGTGAGAAATGTACATAGCCAAGCAGCTGAGCCATACAACGCACAGACACACAGCGCAGACTAGTCACCACAGGCCAGATCGCTGAAGGCCCCTAGCTTCGGCACTATAACTTTCGGGTGGTACTTACAGCTCTGCGTTAAATACAGCGAGGGCACTCTGCTGAACCTCTGGATGGTAGATGGCATGGGAGCTGATGCACATGCCGAAGAACATCTGTGAAAGCTGGAGTAAGGTGATGTATGACCTTAAAAATGTGAATAGCCTGGGAAGCACCACAGAAGCAGAAAGTGGAGCAGCTGGAGTGCTACGCGTGAAGGGTTAATAAAGCAGGCCGAGGTACAAACGGAACCTACACTGCGCTGCACCGCGGCTGATTCAGCTTACCGTTTGGTCACTGCAAATTCCGCAGCAGCAAAATACGCATGAACAAACACTTGCACAGCCAAGTTCGCTGCCACAAAGCCGTGGGCAAAAGGCACATCCGCATAAAGTGCGTGCCAGCAATACAACGCGACTGCTACGCGTGCATAGCAGTGCAGGAAAGACGGCCGCCGCCCTCGTAGAAAGAGCAAAAAGGTGTCAAAGACCTCCACGCCCTTTCCCAGACAGAAAACACAAACCACTAGTCTCGTCAGTGGAGGATACTTCGAGGAAGGGAATGCAAACGTGCTGAAGAGCCTAGGCGACGACCACATCTGCGCAGCACAGCACAAGAAGTGTTGAACCTGAAGGCCAAACGCGCAGCGGAGGCAACCAAGGTTCCCTAATATCTGTGTCCACGTACTTGTGCTCAAGGCTTACCAGAGCGCAGAAGCCGGCGAAACAATAAATGCAGAGCAGAACATTCCAGAGGCACGTGATCGCCTTGAGAACTGGTCCAACGCGAGCTCGAGGAACAGAGCCTTGTTTTTGTGCTCTCATCTTCCTGTCATGCATCCTCTGTAGAAGAATAACCAAAGGTATGTATGCGAGGCACACGCCCCACACCAAGTGGCGGCAGCTCCTGCTGATCATAGGGGCCCTCAATGGCTCTGCCCAAAATTCCTCCGTAAACACAGGCAGCACTCGCTGCCACAGTGTCTCCAGCATTTTCATGTGCCCAGATGCCGCAGATCGTCAAGGCCTCAGCAACGAACAAGCTGCAGCAACCCTCGGCCGAAGGGCCCGAAGACGTCAAGATCCCCCGAGAGTGATCCCCGCCCGGGGAAGAACGGTGGCTTGCGCTGGATCTGCACGACAAACTTAACAGTTAAGAGCATGACTCACTCCCCAGGCGCATCTGCCACTGCATGCCGCCACAAGTATAACAAACCTCAGCAGGGACTGTAAAACTTCACAAGTAGATTATTCAGGAACATGACCAGGCGGTCCAGAGACCTTAGTAAAGATGTGAATGCACTACACGGCAAAACTTCTCGTCTATTTTGAACTCAAACTATGAACCACAACACTCGAGCGCACGCAGTCACATGCACGTTGTCGAGACACTGCAACACTCACAGCACTACACGCAGTACCAAACAATCTGCTAGAGAAATAAACATATACAAACAGATGAGTGTGGGTTTGACTCCGTCCAAACTCCACCGCGGCCTGCCCCCACATTCAGGAGGACACTGTATGTATGGCGAGCTCACGTCTATAATCAAAGGATGATTCCAAATCGCAACACGGAAAGCTTCCTGCTTGTATGATTCAAGACGCGGCACCAGACTCAGTATAAAATTCGGGGCGATGCGTCGGCTGTCTTTCCCCGGTGGCAGTTGCTGCCGCCCAGTCACTGTCGGCCTCGCTGTTGCCCTGCACAAAATCTTGAAGGGGAATGAGCGGCACCTACTGCCAGCAGAACTCGGCAGAGATGCACAAAAATGTCACATTTGTAGGTTGACTATCCTGATGAAACTGGCGGCAATTTGGAGCGTCACATGTGCAGGCTGCTGCTGCGGCAGGTGCTCCGTACGCCCTTTCGACGGTCGCTGCACTCCTGCCAGTGCACCCTTGTCTGCTCATCAAGTGAATGCGCAGTGTGTTCTTCACAACTGCTGTGATGCCTTTATTTCGTGAGCAATGTGCGGCTGGAAGAGTTCGTACATGCTGCCCTGCCTTAGCGGCGTGGTTTAACCTTCTCCCTAGCACCCCCACGCATGGGAGGTGGTATGCGCTGTTACAATATAGGGCTATTCTCGTATTATTCGTCCTTAATAACTACCCTCAAAATACAAATGACTGAAGTTTGAACTGGGCAATTGAGATCAGAAATAAGGTGAGAGCCCCGCGCATGGCAGCCGTTTCTGCGAGGTGCAACGCATGGCTTAAGGCTAAGGCGATAGGCTTGTTAGCGAAACTAAAAGCCTTTAGCACTGAGCGTCGAAATCTTGGAGTTCCGTAAGCTAGCATCGAGTCATATTTTTCCGTAGCAGCGCTTCATGTGGATCGGCTTCCCCATCGCAGCTAACGGCTAGTGGGGACAGTTGACCGGATTCAACTAGCTGTCCGTAGGCGCATTGCTGCCGCATTAATGAACTACTTTGAACTGACCCATGTCTAATATATTTTCTGATCACTTGCGCATTCTTTCCCGCGCCGGAATTACCATCGTTGTATTAATGTGATGAGGCACTACGTGGTCGTGGGCACCATTTGATGCTACGCAAGTAGAGCCCAAGGAGGAAGAGGAACGGAATTGGAATCAAAATGAAGCGGTCATGCTTGCTAACAAGGGTATCCCACTAAGGAACAGCAGGCGAACAGACAGTAAAGTCATCAAGGCAGCACCAAGAGGTAACACTGAACCTCGGCTCCTGTCGACAACTGCAGCCGGCAAGCCACTCTGGGGCCCCGCATACACTTATTATGCAATCTCGTAACCCTCATCATTCTCTAATGGAGATAAAGCGTGAAGTACCAGGGTTTAGTTGAAGACTCCACAGGGTACTACACACCACACAATACAGCTAAGGTACAAAATGGAAAATTCATGGCACTTTTACCGGGAACAAAAGATCTTGAGTGTCATGGACAAAGGCTTGAGACCAATCCACGGAATAAATAGGGCGGATTTAGCTAGACAATGCAAGAAGAAGACCCAGATATTCTGCTGCCTTCATGAGCATCAGTGCAATAACGAGCACGCTCCTCAATGGCATTGTAGTGCGCCGCACTACGATGCAGCTCAGTAATTGCCTCCAGTGTCACATAATTCAGAATGGACAGGTTGGAATAGTAGCTTAAAGTAAATACCATGCAGGGGGACTTAGTCCTCGGGTGATAAGGCTCTGCGCTCATTGTGCAAATAAGAGCGTGTTGGTCATGCGCTTGCGCAAAAGGTGAGCAATTGGCGCACAGAATAACACGGTGGAGAGCGTCCGGCGTGCTAGAGACCATTTGAACAGGGATACTAACAAAATTTATTCCCTTACGACCAGACGACAAGGACATGAACGTGCCTCCAAAGGAAACCACACCTTGGAGAAACGTAGCAGAATCAACCCTGCAAGTGAGCCAAACACTGTTTACAGGTTTCGTGCACATACTGTGACTCATTAAGTTCAGCTTGCGGCTTAGAGAGGAGTAGAGTAGTTTTTTACATAGCGCATCTCCTTCGCTTCATTACTTGCGGACACGGGACCTTGGTCGATGCGCCAGCCTTTCTAGAATGCTGCCTGGCCAGCACTTGCCCGCGACATAGAATATACTCTCTTGAGCAAAGAAAATATAAAGTCTTTTCATGTCATATCAGAGCCTAGTCGTCCAGGCGTTATAGATTAGGATATGTGGGGTGGCCTCTTGTAAGTGGAGGCCAACACTAGATCTGTCTGCGAAATCAGTGCAACAAGTGAAATATAGGGGCTAAAGAAACCATAAATTGATTAAGTCTATGAGAGGCCAAAGCTTTTACTGATTTTTTGCCGAAGGCACAGTATGGAGAAGGAGCGCCAAAAGCCTTCAAAAGGAGACTCAAAATAACTCTTTTCAGGAAATCATTGGTGAGGAGACGATGCAATGATGCAATGAGACAGGTGTAGCATGACCCAGTACCTTATTTAATCGTGCAGGCAGCAATTGCTGGATGGTGGAGGTATTTTCTCTTCGGAGAGTCCGTGACCCCAGGCTGTCCCTGTCGGAAGGCATCCCGATTGATGTCGCGACCGTGGGCGCCTTCACGCTCGATTTCAACATGAGGGCAAAAAGGTTTCCATACGTGCGTTGGAGGCAGCACTTGTATCGCAAAGCTCCAAACATTGATGATCACAGGAGCCGCGGAAAGCTAGCGGCCACACAGAGGGCGCTACCCCATCTTGCAGGGCAAACTTGAGCAGAATCAACTCTCGAAGGGTATGTTATTTAATGCTATTTGATGGTCCGTATGAAAAATGACACGAAGAAAGGAGCGGTGTCTTACTGACATTCACAATCCAATTAAGATGTATCACTACGCTGAACAAAGAAAGTTTTTTTACAGCACGCCAAACCTAGGGTACACTGAAACGAGCGTAAGCGTGGTGAGCTGAGGTCAACTTGGCTGCTGCGCAAATCGTTTGTTTTGGCCACACGGGATCATGCCAACCACTACTAATTTAAGGCACTGCGAAGCATTCAAAGGATACCACTGTATGCTCCGCATTCCAGAAATGCATCTATCTTTCATCAATGTTTCTTTTTCAGTGTGTGGGCTTCCAATACTCTGCAGCTTTAGTGCTTCTTGCAAGCTCCAACCCGTGGGCCCCATTGCAGAGGAAACCACGCTTCATAGCTCAACACCAAGCTCAATTTGCCTCTTTGTTACCTGTATTTAACACGTTAATCTACATATTCTGGATTCTATGACCCTGAAGGCCATTTCTTGGCGACGGTGTAATGCTGTGCAGTACAACTTCTCTCCTTCCCATGGTGCTTCGCTTGTAGATGATACAAGCTAGCGTCTTTCTCCTTTACCGTTTGTTCTGCTACGTTTTTGGCCACGTTTGCGTGACTTCGTCGTGTCAGCGTCCTATTCAAAGCAGCTGCTTTGTTGTTACTGCTGTTCGGAGTTTGTGCTATGCGTCTATTGCTGTGCCTATTGCTTTGGGTACGCTTCAGCGTGCCGCCGTATGCCATTCCATCTGTTTCTCTTGAATTTCTTCGCTGCCACACAAGCTGCTGTCCGGTTGCTCCCGCCTGCATTCAGTCTTCTAGTGAAGATACACACTTTCTGTTATGATACGACAAATTCC